CCCTTCTCACCACCAGCCAGACCAGAACATAAGCCCTTCCCTCCCAGTCCCTTCTCACCACCAGCCAGACCAGAACATAAGCCCTTCCCTCCCAGTCCCTTCTCACCACCAGCCAGACCAGACCATAAGCCCTTCCCTCCCAGTCCCTTCTCACCACCAGCCAGACCAGAACATACGCTCTTCCCTCCCAGTCCCTTCTCACCACCAGCCAGACCAGAACATAAGCTCTTCCCTCCCAGTCCCTTCTCACCACCAGCCAGACCAGACCATAAGCCCTTCCCTCCCAGTCCCTTCTCACCACCAGCCAGACCAGACCATAAGCTCTTCCCTCCCAGTTCCTTCTCACCACCAGCCAGACCAGATCATAAGCCCTTCCCTCCCAGTCCCTTCTCACCACCAGCCAGACCAGACCATAAGCCCTTCCCTCCCAGTCCCTTCTCACCACCAGCCAGACCAGAACATAAGCCCTTCCCTCCCAGTCCCTTCTCACCACCAGCCAGACCAGACCATAAGCCCTTCCCTCCCAGTCCCTTCTCACCACCAGCCAGACCAGACCATAAGCTCTTCCCTCCCAGTCCCTTCTCACCACCAGCCAGACCAGACCATAAGCCCTTCCCTCCCAGTCCCTTCTCACCACCAGCCAGACCAGACCATAAGCCCTTCCCTCCCAGTCCCTTCTCACCACCAGCCAGACCAGAACATAAGCTCTTCCCTCCCAGTCCCTTCTCACCACCAGCCAGACAGAACATAAGCTCTTCCCTCCCAGTCCCTTCTCACCACCAGCCAGACCAGAACATAAGCCCTTCCCTCCCAGTCCCTTCTCACCACCAGCCAGACCAGACCATAAGCCCTTCCCTCCCAGTCCCTTCTCACCACCAGCCAGACCAGAACATAAGCCCTTCCCTTCTCACCACCAGCCAGACCAGACCATAAGCCCTTCCCTCCCAGTCCCTTCTCACCACCAGCCAGACCAGAACATAAGCCCTTCCCTTCTCACCACCAGCCAGACCAGACCATAAGCTCTTCCCTCCCAGTCCCTTCTCACCACCAGCCAGACCAGAACATAAGCCCTTCCCTTCTCACCACCAGCCAGACCAGAACATAAGCCCTTCCCTCCCAGTCCCTTCTCACCACCAGCCAGACCAGACCATAAGCCCTTCCCTTCTCACCACCAGCCAGACCAGACCATAAGCTCTTCCCTCCCAGTCCCTTCTCACCACCAGCCAGACCAGACCATACGCTCTTCCCTCCCAGTCCCTTCTCACCACCAGCCAGACCAGAACATAAGCTCTTCCCTCCCAGTCCCTTCTCACCACCAGCCAGACCAGACCATAAGCCCTTCCCTCCCAGTCCCTTCTCACCACCAGCCAGACCAGACCATAAGCTCTTCCCTCCCAGTTCCTTCTCACCACCAGCCAGACCAGATCATAAGCCCTTCCCTCCCAGTCCCTTCTCACCACCAGCCAGACCAGACCATAAGCTCTTCCCTCCCAGTCCCTTCTCACCACCAGCCAGACCAGACCATACGCTCTTCCCTCCCAGTCCCTTCTCACCACCAGCCAGACCAGAACATAAGCTCTTCCCTCCCAGTCCCTTCTCACCACCAGCCAGACCAGACCATAAGCCCTTCCCTCCCAGTCCCTTCTCACCACCAGCCAGACCAGACCATAAGCTCTTCCCTCCCAGTTCCTTCTCACCACCAGCCAGACCAGATCATAAGCCCTTCCCTCCCAGTCCCTTCTCACCACCAGCCAGACCAGACCATAAGCCCTTCCCTCCCAGTCCCTTCTCACCACCAGCCAGACCAGAACATAAGCCCTTCCCTCCCAGTCCCTTCTCACCACCAGCCAGACCAGACCATAAGCCCTTCCCTCCCAGTCCCTTCTCACCACCAGCCAGACCAGACCATAAGCTCTTCCCTCCCAGTCCCTTCTCACCACCAGCCAGACCAGACCATAAGCCCTTCCCTCCCAGTCCCTTCTCACCACCAGCCAGACCAGACCATAAGCCCTTCCCTCCCAGTCCCTTCTCACCACCAGCCAGACCAGAACATAAGCTCTTCCCTCCCAGTCCCTTCTCACCACCAGCCAGACAGAACATAAGCTCTTCCCTCCCAGTCCCTTCTCACCACCAGCCAGACCAGAACATAAGCCCTTCCCTCCCAGTCCCTTCTCACCACCAGCCAGACCAGACCATAAGCCCTTCCCTCCCAGTCCCTTCTCACCACCAGCCAGACCAGAACATAAGCCCTTCCCTTCTCACCACCAGCCAGACCAGACCATAAGCCCTTCCCTCCCAGTCCCTTCTCACCACCAGCCAGACCAGAACATAAGCCCTTCCCTTCTCACCACCAGCCAGACCAGACCATAAGCTCTTCCCTCCCAGTCCCTTCTCACCACCAGCCAGACCAGAACATAAGCCCTTCCCTTCTCACCACCAGCCAGACCAGAACATAAGCCCTTCCCTCCCAGTCCCTTCTCACCACCAGCCAGACCAGACCATAAGCCCTTCCCTTCTCACCACCAGCCAGACCAGACCATACGCTCTTCCCTCCCAGTCCCTTCTCACCACCAGCCAGACCAGACCATAAGCTCTTCCCTCCCAGTCCCTTCTCACCACCAGCCAGACCAGACCATAAGCCCTTCCCTCCCAGTCCCTTCTCACCACCAGCCAGACCAGACCATAAGCCCTTCCCTCCCAGTCCCTTCTCACCACCAGCCAGACCAGAACATAAGCCCTTCCCTCCCAGTCCCTTCTCACCACCAGCCAGACCAGACCATAAGCCCTTCCCTCCCAGTCCCTTCTCACCACCAGCCAGACCAGACCATAAGCCCTTCCCTCCCAGTCCCTTCTCACCACCAGCCAGACCAGACCATAAGCCCTTCCCTCCCAGTCCCTTCTCACCACCAGCCAGACCAGACCATAAGCCCTTCCCTCCCAGTCCCTTCTCACCACCAGCCAGACCAGAACATAATCCCTTCCCTCCCAGTCCCTTCTCACCACCAGCCAGACCAGAACATAAGCCCTTCCCTCCCAGTCCCTTCTCACCACCAGCCAGACCAGAACATAAGCCCTTCCCTCCCAGTCCCTTCTCACCACCAGCCAGACCAGAACATAAGCCCTTCCCTCCCAGTCCCTTCTCACCACCAGCCAGACCAGAACATAAGCCCTTCCCTCCCAGTCCCTTCTCACCACCAGCCAGACCAGAACATAAGCCCTTCCCACCCAGTCCCTTCTCACCACCAGCCAGACCAGACCATAAGCCCTTCCCTCCCAGTTCCTTCTCACCACCAGCCAGACCAGACCATAAGCCCTTCCCTCCCAGTTCCTTCTCACCACCAGCCAGACCAGACCATAAGCCCTTCCCTCCCAGTCCCTTCTCACCACCAGCCAGACCAGACCATAAGCCCTTCCCTCCCAGTCCCTTCTCACCACCAGCCAGACCAGACCATAAGCCCTTCCCTCCCAGTCCCTTCTCACCACCAGCCAGACCAGACCATAAGCTCTTCCCTCCCAGTCCCTTCTCACCACCAGCCAGACCAGACCATAAGCCCTTCCCTCCCAGTCCCTTCTCACCACCAGCCAGACCAGACCATAAGCCCTTCCCTCCCAGTCCCTTCTCACCACCAGCCAGACCAGACCATAAGCCCTTCCCTCCCAGTCCCTTCTCACCACCAGCCAGACCAGACCATAAGCCCTTCCCTCCCAGTCCCTTCTCACCACCAGCCAGACCAGACCATAAGCCCTTCCCTCCCAGTCCCTTCTCACCACCAGCCAGACCAGAACATAAGCCCTTCCCTCCCAGTCCCTTCTCACCACCAGCCAGACCAGACCATAAGCCCTTCCCTCCCAGTCCCTTCTCACCACCAGCCAGACCAGACCATAAGCCCTTCCCTCCCAGTCCCTTCTCACCACCAGCCAGACCAGACCATAAGCCCTTCCCTCCCAGTCCCTTCTCACCACCAGCCAGACCAGACCATAAGCCCTTCCCTCCCAGTCCCTTCTCACCACCAGCCAGACCAGAACATAATCCCTTCCCTCCCAGTCCCTTCTCACCACCAGCCAGACCAGAACATAAGCCCTTCCCTCCCAGTCCCTTCTCACCACCAGCCAGACCAGAACATAAGCCCTTCCCTCCCAGTCCCTTCTCACCACCAGCCAGACCAGAACATAAGCCCTTCCCTCCCAGTCCCTTCTCACCACCAGCCAGACCAGAACATAAGCCCTTCCCTCCCAGTCCCTTCTCACCACCAGCCAGACCAGAACATAAGCCCTTCCCACCCAGTCCCTTCTCACCACCAGCCAGACCAGACCATAAGCCCTTCCCTCCCAGTTCCTTCTCACCACCAGCCAGACCAGACCATAAGCCCTTCCCTCCCAGTTCCTTCTCACCACCAGCCAGACCAGACCATAAGCCCTTCCCTCCCAGTCCCTTCTCACCACCAGCCAGACCAGACCATAAGCCCTTCCCTCCCAGTCCCTTCTCACCACCAGCCAGACCAGACCATAAGCCCTTCCCTCCCAGTCCCTTCTCACCACCAGCCAGACCAGACCATAAGCTCTTCCCTCCCAGTCCCTTCTCACCACCAGCCAGACCAGACCATAAGCCCTTCCCTCCCAGTCCCTTCTCACCACCAGCCAGACCAGACCATAAGCCCTTCCCTCCCAGTCCCTTCTCACCACCAGCCAGACCAGACCATAAGCCCTTCCCTCCCAGTCCCTTCTCACCACCAGCCAGACCAGACCATAAGCCCTTCCCTCCCAGTCCCTTCTCACCACCAGCCAGACCAGACCATAAGCTCTTCCCTCCCAGTCCCTTCTCACCACCAGCCAGACCAGAACATAAGCCCTTCCCTCCCAGTCCCTTCTCACCACCAGCCAGACCAGAACATAAGCCCCTGCCTGCCTGTTATTAGTCTGACCTGACACCCTCAGGCTCTATGAACACATGTTTTTGTTTTGTTTGCCTACGTAGCTGTGATTCAATGTGTTGCTTCAGGTGCAGAGACCCAGTCAAGGTCTTGGTAGACTGGACAGGCAGGGGCCAGGTCTAGTAAGTGGGTTGCATAAGCTGGTGGAGTTCAGAAAGGTCTGACTCTGTAATGGTCTAGCACAGGTCTGCCAAAATATGGGGGGAAAATGAGCATAGAGCAGCCAGTCAGTTGTCCCTGGCTCTCTAGCACCGTGGCTCTAGCGCTCTGCCAGCATTCATCAGAGAAGAAGAAAAGCTAGACATCTGAGCTATGGGTGTTTGGGGGAGAACACTGCAAGCAAGACACACGCCATACTGGATTACACACACACACACACACACACACACACACACACACACACACGTTCTCACAGAATGGTAAATGATGGACATAGCTGTGATGGTCTTTGAGAGGGGGAACAGATGCAACGTTTATACACTGGCCCTTTGCAACAACTGCTTTGTTTGTCCACTGCAGAGGCATCCAAGTACCAGCCAATGCAAACAACCATTTAGCTACCCACTGTTTCCTTTCTGTCCCCAAAGGCTGATGCCCACAGGTTTGAGACACAAAAGGCCAAACTCAGGCCTAAAGGCCAGTGGTCTGAAACCACCAGGGCCAACCCACAACCTAAAGTCCAAACACTGGCCATTGGTCAAGGCCCATCAGGGCCTAATCACAGCCCTGTAATCAGAAGAAGGAAAATAAATTGACTGTGGAGTTTCAACTCTGTTGGTGTGTTCCTCTAGTCTAAATGCTGCTAATTCAGGTCCTGCGGTGCTGCTGTCTGCCTGGCTGGTGAGCCAGTCCTTTTTAAACAATTAACCCTCTCCGTGCCACGGCCACTGCCCCGGCCAGGGCTAAATCATTCCAGTCTGACTCAGCAGGACAGGAACAGCTGGCTCTGCCTCAGTCTGACTAACTAATTGACTTAACTGGAACAAAAGCCTGCCGACACCATGCTGCACCCGCTTCCTTCTAGGAGCTGAGCGGTAGTGGAGAGTTCTGAAGAGGCGCTTTGTATTCAGCTCTTACCGAGCAGCACTTGATACACCGATAACTGTGACATTTTGTAAAGTAATCTCCCTGTATTAGTCCTAGTCTCACTTTATTTATTCAAATCAAATCAAATTTGTCACACGGGTGTAGCGAAATGCTTGTGCTTCTAGCTCCGACAGTGCAGGAAAGCCTCTGTGTCAGAGCTCATTCTAGATTAGGAGATTGAAGATTCCTGTTTTCTCTCTTGCATTTTCCCCAGAATAGGCAGTAAACTCATGGATGGAAACATGAGATGAAACACTCACTGACTTCCCTCTGAACTCTGTGGTTCCAGAGTGGGCCCAAAGGCTGACATCTGTGGGAGAAATGGTGAGAGGGAGGCTGAGCAGAAAAGAGCCCTTCAGAGAGGGGAGATGTGAACTTGAGAGAGAGGAGTTGGATGTGTGGATGTTGAGCCTCTCAGGGCCACTCTTAAAGCCTGCTCTTCTCATCACTTAACCCAACATCTCAGCCTCTTCTCCGTCAGTCTGGAGCAGCACGACTCAGCCCATTTAACATCCCTCCCCCTCAGCCAGAGCAAGATGGACTGAGAGAAGGGGAGGAGAGGGAAATGGACAGATAAGAGTGGAGGAGTTTTTGAGTCATTGCTTTTAGTGACTGCATGGTCTTTGCGTGGCTAAACTGGCCAAGTGAAATATACCTGGTGAATTAATGGAAGAATTTATAGTATACTGCGCTCTCTCTCTCTCTCACGCCTCACTGCAGGCAGGGATATAAAGAGAACAGATTTCTGGTTGTTTGTCCTTCTGGCTCTCCCAGCTGTTTCTGCCTCAGTAGATTAGTCCTGGCCAACGGGGCCTGCTGGAGCCCTCTGTCTCGACGTGTCTGTGTGTGTTTCTGGCTCCTGTTGGAGTGGAGGTTCTGTCAGAAGCATCACCATCACACTGACACTCCTATCTCATGGTCTCTCTTGCTCTCTCTCATCTTCCTCTACTCCCGCTCTTCTGTCTTTTGATCATGCTTCCTCCCTCCTGCTCAGTGTAATGTGAGTGGGCTCTTTCCTGTGAGAGCGAGTCTCTTTAAGCCCAGTCAGTGTATGAACTGGCACAGAGATAGAGGGTTCTGTTCTCAGGTCTGCTGCTTTAGCCAGACAGACCGTGTGATCCCTGGCCACCCAGAACCAGCCTCCACCGCTGGAATTGGGGCCAACTAGCCAGGTAAAGGCTAGACACGCACATACACACACACACACACGGTCCACACGCATGCTCATGTAAAATTGCACCTTCACTACAACACATAGCACCAACACACACACAGCCGCTCACAGCTTTATCAAAACCGTATGGTCTTCCATAAACCCAGACCCCCTGCCTGGCAAACTGGTTTCTTTTTGATGACTAATCTGTAGCTTACTACTAAATGCTCCTGCGTCAGCAATGTCTTAGTTGTACTTCCATGTGTTTAATGTTTTTATAGATTTTTCTCCTCTCTTAAAGTGAATTCTGAATGTAGCCTAGTCCCTGGTTTAAGCCTACACATGGCTGCCTCATGGGCCCTCGCTTTGTCCAGACTCCAGGATAGGCCACTTTGAAGCCAAGGACTGCAATTCCCAGGAGCCCCCACACTGCAGCCAGTGAACAGGCCGTAAAGGGAGAATTTGTTGGGGTCAACGAGTGGTTACTCCTGAGGTGTGTGTGTGTGTTATAACTGGCACTCAGGGGAAGGGAAGCAATGGCTCGTTGTATGTGTATTAGTCTGGATGAGAAAGACCTTTAGTGACCTGACCTAGGGATTAGGCTTGGGCGGTATCCAGATTTTCATACCGTCATACCGCTCTTCTGCCATCCCGGGAATTACGGTATTACCTGCATAGCACTCAAGGGGGCGCTAAAAACACTAGAAAAGCCCATTGGGCCTCTATTACCAGAATGCAACAAAAAAATTTGCACAAGTAATAGCGAACTCACATAGACGTTATGTTATGTAGCAAAATTTGAAATTGTGTTTTTTTACATTGGATAAATGTAGAGGCTCAGAGCTAGAAAATGGTATATCATGCACTACAGTTGAGGAACAATGGGAAAGTAATTCTGCTTTGAAAGTTGATAAACTTGTAACCTCACTTTTGAGAAAATGGCCCTTGAATGTTTTGGTAAACCTACTGGAGAGCTCTTTTTTGTCTACACCCATTCAGCATCATTCACACCCTTTTAAGCCTTAGCCCCACCCATCTCTTTAAGGATTCACATGTGAGGCCATGTACTAAACAACCAAAGATTTCAAGACTAAAGGCTGGTTTATGCTATGGGTGGGTTCGTAAATTCAATCTGGGATGCCAGAGTGCTCTCTGGGTGTTCGTTAACTCAGAGAGTTGTCAGACTATCTCTGCATATTTGCAATTAAACGCCAGAATTTTCTCCATCTCCTTAGCTATCATAATCTAATACCACTGGGCATTCCACTGACTTCCAAACTCGGTCCTCCAGAAAGTGGAGAGCAACACTTTTGCAGTTCTACTACGTGATATCTTTCAAAAGCTGCGTTAGAAAGGACTGTCAACACATACTGACCAGCTCATGTTATAGACAGAAGCATGCTACATGGCAGACCAATCCGAAATCATCTCTTGACATGTTCAGCCCATCCATTATCTCAGCCAATCATGGCTAGCGGGAAGGTTCCTGTCTTTTTCCGTGGCTAAACAAACTAGGCTCTTAATTCGTATTAACAGATGGCATACAATTTTGTTATTAAGGCAAATGAAAGTTCACATGTTCCAGAAGGCATTTTGATTTAAAAAATGTTTATTTTAAAATGGCTCTCCTGTGAAGTAGTGACGTGGGACATATGGCTAGTTTCCTGAAACGAGTCACATAAACTAATTGCAAAGACCGACAAATCCAGCTTATAAAGTTATACAAGCATAGCTACCGAATGTAATTTTCGGTGAGTGTGTACATTTGAAAGTGAGAGAAATTGTGCAAATGAACAAAGTTGTGATTCATGCTTTTCTGACGGAAGCGCAGCATGTGTACACGGAGCAGATGGGAGAAGAACGGAGGACAAAAAAAATGCTAGTGGGAAACCAAATGGCACGGCAGAAAGCCGGTATAAGAAATATCTGAAGGCAAACATTTGCATACAAGTGTAATGTCATCACCTCATGTGCACATCAGAGACTCGCCGATAGATATAGAACGCTATGGACTCACCAGCTCCCGCTTTCTCCAGTTGTGCTATTTACAAACAAACATACAAACAAACACGTGACTGGCTCAACTTTTCTGGGGAACTACGGTAAGCTTCATAATGTAAAATAATCTGCTTTATATCTTAACATGTTGCACAAGTTGACATATACAGTGGGGAGAACAAGTATTTCATACACTGCCGATTTTGCAGGTTTTCCTACTTACAAAGCATGTAGAGGTCTGTAATTTTTATCATAGGTACACTTCAACTGTGAGAGACGGAATCTAAAACAAAAATCCAGAAAATCACATTGTATGATTTTTAAGTAATTAATTTGAATTTTATTGCATGACATAAGTATTTGATCACCTACCAACCAGTAAGAATTCCGGCTCTCACAGACCTGTTAGTTTTTCTTTAAGAAGCCCTTCTGTTCTCCACTCCAGGCTCTGTAGTAGCCGGCCGCAACCGGGAGACCCATGGGGCGGCGCACAATTGGCCCAGCGTCGTCCATGGTAGGGGAGGGAATGGCCGGCAGGGATGTAGCCCAGTTGGTAGAGCATGGCGTTTGCAACGCCAGGGTTGTGGGATCGATTCCCACGGGAATGAAAAATAAAAAAATTATGTATGCACTCACTAACTGTAAGTCGCTCTGGATAAGAGCATCTGCTAAATGACTAAAATGTAAATGTAATTACCTGTATTAACTGCACCTGTTTGAACTCGTTACCTGTATAAAAGACACCTGTCCACACACTCAATCAAACAGACTCCAACCTCTCCACAATGGCCAAGACCAGAGAGCTGTGTAAGGACATCAGGGATACAATTGTAGACTTGCACAAGGCTGGGATGGGCTACAGGACAATATGCAAGCAGCTTGGTGAGAAGGCAACAACTGTTGGCGCAATTATTAGAAAATGGAAGAAGTTCAAGATGACGGTCAATCACCCTCGGTCTGGGGCTCCATGCAAGATCTCACCTCGTGGGGCATCAATGATCATGAGGAAGGTGAGGGATCAGCCCAGAACTACACGGCAGGACCTGGTCAATGACCTGAAGAGAGCTGGGACCACAGTCTCAAAGAAAACCATTAGTAACACACTACGCCGTCATGGATTAAAATCCTGCAGCGCACGCAAGGTCCCCCTGCTCAAGCCAGCGCATGTCCAGGCCCGTCTGAAGTTTGACAATGACCATCTGGATGATCCAGAGGAGGAATGGGAGAAGGTCATGTGGTCTGATGAGACAAAAATAGAGCTTTTTGGTCTAAACTCCACTCGCCGTGTTTGTAGGAAGAAGAAGGAAAAGAGGACTGAGCACGCCCCCATTCTCATCGACGGGGCTGTAGTGGAACAGGTTGAGAGCTTCAAGTTCCTTGGTGTCCACATCACCAACGAACTATCATGGTCCAAACACACCAAGACAGTCGTGAAGAGGGCATGACAAAGCCTATTCCCCCTCAGGAGACTGAAAAGATTTGGCATGGGTCCTCAGATCCTCAAAAAATTCTACAGCTGCACCATCGAGAGCATCCTGACTGGTTGCATCACCGCCTGGTATGGCAACTGCTTGGCCTCCGACCGCAAGGCACTACAGAGGGTAGTGCGTACGGCCCAGTACATCACTGGGGCCAAGCTTCCTGCCATCCAGGACCTCTATACCAGGCGGTGTCAGAGGAAGGCCCTCAAAATTGTCAAAGACTCCAGCCACCCTAGTCATAGACTGTTCTCCCTGCTACCGCACGGCAAGCGGTACCGGAGTGCCAAGTCTAGGTCCAAAAGACTTCTCAACAGCTTCTACCCCCAAGCCATAAGACTCCTGAACAGCTAATCATGGCTACCCGGACTATTTGCACTGCCCCCCCACCCCATCCTTTTTACGCTGCTGCTACTCTGTTAAGTATTTATGCATAGTCACTTTAACTCTACCCACATGTACATATTACTTCAACTATCTCAACTAGCCGGTGCCCCCGCACATTGACTCTGCACCGGTACCCCCCTGTATATACATTGAGGGAAAAAAGTATTTGATCCCCTGCTGATTTTGTACGTTTTCCCACTGACAAAGAAATTATCAGTCTATAATTTTAATGGTAGGTTTATTTGAACAGTGAGACAGAATAACAACAACAAAATCCAGAAAAACGCATGTCAAAAATGTTATCAATTGATTTGCATTTTAATGAGGGAAATAAATATTTGACCCCCTCTCAATCAGAAAGATGTCTGGCTCCCAGGTGTCTTTTATACAGGTAACGAGCTGAGATTAGGAGCACACTCTTAAAGGGAGTGCTCCTAATCTCAGTTTGTCAACTCTATAAAAGACACCTGTCCACAGAAGCAATCAATCAATCCGATTCCAAACTCTCCACCATGGCCAAGACCAAAGAGCTCTCCAAGGATGTCAGGGACAAGATTGTAGACCTACACAAGGCTGGAATGGGCTACAAGACCATCGCCAAGCAGCTTGGTGAGAAGGTGACAACAGTTGGTGCGATTATTCGCAAATGGAAGAAAAACAAAATAACTGTCAATCTCCCTCGGCCTGGGGCTCCATGCAAGATCTCACCTCGTGGAGTTGTAATGATCATGAGAACGGTGAGGAATCAGCCCAGAACTACATGGGAGGATCTTGTCAATGATCTCAAGGCAGCTGGGACCATAGTCACCAAGAAAACAATTGGTAACACACTACGCCGTGAAGGACTGAAATCCTGCAGCGCCCGCAAGGTCCCCCAGCTCAAGAAAGTACATATACAGGGCCGTCTGAAGTTTGCCAATGAACATCTGAATGATTCAGAGGAGAACTGGGTGAAAGTGTTGTGGTCAGATGAGACCAAAATCGAGCTCTTTGGCATCAACTCAACTCGCCGTGTTTGTAGGAGGAGGAATGCTGCCTATGACCCCAAGAACACCATCCCCACCGTCAAACATGGAGGTGGAAACATTATGCTTTGGGGGTGTTTTTCTGCTAAGGGGACAGGACAACTTCACCGCATCAAAGGGACGATGGGCGGGGCCATGTACCGTCAAATCTTGGGTGAGAAACTCCTTCCCTCAGCCAGGGCATTGAAAATGGGTCGTGGATGGTATTTCAAAATGACAATGACCCAAAACACACGGCCAAGGCAACAAAGGAGTGGCTCAAGAAGAAGCACATTAAGGTCCTGGAGTGGCCTAGCCAGTTTCCAGACCTTAATCCCATAGAAAATCTGTGGCGGGAGCTGAAGGTCCGAGTTGCCAAACGTCAGCCTCGAAACCTTAATGACTTGGAGAAGATCTGCAAAGAGGAGTGGGACAAAATCCCTCCTGAGATGTGTGCAAACCTGGTGGCCAACTACAAGAAACGTCTGACCTCTGTGATTGCCAACAAGGGTTTTGCCACCAAGTACTAAGTCATGTTTTGCAGAGGGGTCAAATACTTAATTCCCTCATTAAAATGCAAATCAATTTATAATATTTTTGACATGAGTTCTTCTGGATTTTTTTGTTGTTCTTCTTTCTCTCACTGTTCACATAAACCTACCATTCAAATTATAGACTGATCATGTCTTTGTCAGTGGGCAAACTTACAAAATTAGCAGGGGAGCAAATACTTTTTTCCCTCACTGTATAGCCTCCCTACTGTTATTTTATTTTACTTCTGCTCTTTTTTTCTCAACACTTTTTTTGTTGTTGTTTTATTTTTATAAAAAATAAATGCACTGTTGGTTAAGGGCTGTAAGTAAGCATTTCACTGTAATGTCTGCACCTGTTGTATTCGGCACATGTGACCAATAAAATTTGATTTGATTTGAGTACAACCCCAAGAACACCATCCCAACCGTGAAGCATGGAGGTGGAAACATCATTCTTTGGGGATGCTTTTCTGCAAAGGGGACAGGACGACTGCACCGTATTGAGGGGAGGATGGATGGAGCCATGTTTCGCGAGATCTTGGCCAACAACCTCCTTCCTTCAGTAAGAGCATTGAAGATGGGTCGTGGCTGGGTCTTCCAGCATGACAACAACCTGAAACACACAGCCAGGGCAACTAAGGAGTGGCTCCGTAAGAAGCATCTCAAGGTCCTGGAGTGGCCTAGCCAGTCTCCAGACCTGAACCCAATAGAAAATCTTTGGAGGGAGCTGAAAGTCCGTATTGCCCAGCGACAGCCCCGAAACCTGAAGGATCTGGAGAAGGTCTGTATGGATGAGTGGGCCAAAATCCCTGCTGCAGTGTGTGCAAACCTGGTCAAGAACTACAGGAAACATATGATCTCTGTAATTGCAAACAAAGGTTTCTGTACCAAGTTCTGCTTTTCTGATGTATCAAATACTTATGTCATGCAATAAAATGCAAATTAATTACTTAAAAATCATACAATGTGATTTTCTGGATTTTTGTTTTAGATTCCGTCTCTCACAGTTGAAGTGTACCTATGATACAATTTACAGACCTCTACATGCTTTGTAAGTAGGAAAACCTGCAAAATCGGCAGTGCATCAAATACTTGTTCTCCCCACTGTATATATTAACTTAAAGTAACTAGAAATATTCACATTTATTGAAAAACGTATCCCGCCCAAGCCTACTAGGGACAAGAGGAGGAACCGGAAGATCGTTAGTGCCAGTACACCGACCCAGTAGTAGAGTTGGGAGGACTAGTGAGACGTCATGTTCTGCTTACGTTCATGTGTGAACCAGACCTCCATCTGGCCTCCAGACTTGTGGGTAAATAGATCTTACTACTTCTGTCTGAGTCCTCTAAAGGTTATGTGAGTCCTGTTTAACAGATCACTCACTCATCTTTTCTCCTGATCTGTGCTCTCTGTCTCCATGTGTCCTGACTGATCTGCTCATTCTTACCTCTGATTAGGGACGTCAAACGTTCAACCTGCTGCACAGACCCTATGGACACTCCACTCTAGAGTGCCTGGTTAAATTGTGCTTGGGAGCATTTTTTAAATTTCTAAATGGTTAAATGAGTGAGAAATATGTGATTATTGAACAAATCTGAGTTTGCTTCATTTACTATCCTAAATGAAGGTATTGAATTATTTTGCCATATCTAATTACTGTATATTATGCTACTTTCCATGATGTGGACAGCTGGCGTTTTGACCATATCGAATTGGGGGGAATTAAACATTGTCTTTACCTCCGATGGGTGATGTTAGTGTAAAAGTTTAGTCAACAAGATGACACAATATCAGTTGCTTAAAACAGAGCAATGTCTTTGGTTTGATACTGTTGATTTTGTCATACTCGCTGGGGGTTGCATGACTTAGAACGCAGCCATCATTTTCTTTCTCAAATAGCACCGATAATTTGGGGGGGATCTCTCTATAAAGGTCGCTGGCCACACACCAATACACAGACTTGACAGTCAAACTATCACTTAAATAGCAGTGACAACCAACCGTTGTCACTAGGGATGTAACGATTCACCGATACGCATCTGTCCCGAGTTCAAATGTTTAAGATATGAGTCCATCGGTCCGCGGGACCCCAAACCGCTCCAAATGTAGCATGCATCGGTCAGAAAATCAATTCAAATGTCCCAAATCACCAGTTCACAAAAATGTCTTGCTCATTACTTTCTTTCTACCTGTGTCCTCTCCTTCAGTGTCGAACTAAGCATGTCATTGTGTTGGCAGTCATTGATCTACAAGTAATTTTGCCGAACAACCCCAGGCGATATCAGTAGCCAAACTGCGAGTTGTGCGCCGCTTCACGCGCTGACCAATGAGAGGAAGGCCTATTCCTGATCGGGCACATCTGCTTGTCACTGTCAGCATTTAAATGTTTGTAAAATGGCTTGCGCAATATTAGGCATTATTACTTGAGTGACAAGCAATGTAATTTGCTAGGTCTTTTATTTTTTAATGCGCTGTTGAAAATTGTGTTTTACTGGTTTAAAAGTAGCCTAAGCTAGCGCCGGAGACACAACTCTCATCTGGCTATAGCTTACTTGCTGATCAGGGCTTACGCACGCACGCAACTCAATATTTGGAAGGTGTTCCTAATGTTTGGTATACTCGGTGCATAGTCATTGGCTATGTCATACACTACATGACCAAAAGTATGTGGACACCTGCTTGTCGAACATCTCGTTCCAAAATCATGGGCATTAATATGGAGTTGTTCCCCCTTTACTGCCATAACAGCCTCCACTCTTCTGGGAAGGCTTTCCACTAGATGTTAGAACATTGCTCCGGGGACTTGCTTCAATTCTGCCACAAGCATTAGTGAGGTCGGCACTGATGTTGGCCAATTAGGCCTGGCTTGCAGTCGGCGTAACAATTCATCCCAAAGGTGTTCAATGGGGTTGAGGTCAGGGCTCTGTGCAGGTCAGTCAAGTTCTTCCACACCGATCTCGACAAACTTTTTCTGTATGGACCTCGCTTTGTGCACGGGGGCATTGTCATGCTGAAACAGGAAAGGGCTGCCTTCCCTAAACAGTTGCCACAAAGTTGGAAGCACAGAATAATCTAGAATGTCATTGTATGCTGTACTGTTGACATTTCCCTTCACTGGAACTAAGGGGCCCAGCCCGAACCATGAAAACAGCCCCAGACCATTATTCCTCCTCCACCAAACTTTACAGTTGGCACTATGGTAGTGTTCTCCTGGCATCCCCCAAAGCCAGATTCGTCCATCGGACTGCCAGATGGTGAAGCATTACACTTACCGCGTTGGCAACCCACTTGAATAGAAATGAAACACTTCTAAATGTAGATGGCTGTCTTCTACAAATTGTCCTCTAACCAGTGATGTACACATTATTCCCAGATTGCATGTGGTTTTTGAGCTGTGTTAGTATTAACAGGATGTGCAACCTCATTTCCCCCCCTCACGCAATTGATTTCAATGTGATAATCGATAGTAGTGATTGACAAAACAGTGTTGCATTTCTCTTTCTGTTTTGGTGACCCCCGTATCAAAATGCAACATTCCAAAATGTACCTGACTGTGTTTTGCAAGTTGTCCTCTAACCAGTGATGTGAAGGGGAAAAAATCCCCCCCAATCGATGGGTGATTGACAGTGCTCTCAGAAAGTATTCACACCCCTTGACTTTTTCCACATTTTGTTGTTACAGCCTGAATTTATAATGGTTTAAATAGAGATTTTGTGACACTGGCTTACACACAATACCCCATAATGTCAAAGTGGAATTCGTTGTTTAGAATTTTGTTTAAATTAATTAAAAATGAAAATTGGAAATGTCTTGATTCAATAAGTATTCAACCCCTTTGTTATGGCAAGCCTAAATAAGTTCAGGAGTAAAACATTTCTTAAGTCACATAATAACTTGCATGCACTCACTGTGCAATAATAGTGTTTTAACATGATTTTTTTAATGACCACTATCTCTGTACCCAACACATAAAAGAAACAGAATAGACACAATCCTAGAGGACAACCTGGTTCAGCCTGCTTTCTGAGACACTGGTAGACATTCACCTTTCAGCAGGACAGTAACCTAAAACACAAGGCCAAATCTACACTGGAGTTGCTTACCAAGACGACATTTAATGTTCCTGAGTGGCCTAGTTACAGTTTTTTTTACTTAAATAAGCTTGAAAAACTATGGCAAGACTTGAAAATGTGCTGTCTAGCAATGATCACAACCAACTTGACAGAGGTTGAAGATTTTGTTTTAAAGAACGGTGTGAAAATACTGTACAATCCAGGTGTGCAAAGCTATTAGAGACATACCCAGAAAGACTCACAGCTGTAATCGCTGCCTGAGGTGCTTCTACAAAGTATTGATTTAGGAGTGTGAATACGTATGTAAATTAGATATGTCTGTATTTCCTTTTCAATAAATGTGCTAAAATTTCTAAAACTGTGTTTTCATTTGGTTATTATGGGGTATTGTGTGTAGACAGGTGAGACAAAAAATAAATGTAATCCATTTTGAATTCCAAAATGTGTAATAAGTCAAAGGGTATAAATACTTTCTGAAGGCACTGTATCTCAAATAGTATTTTACCACATCAAAATATATTTTACGATATTTGCAGGTTAGCGTTTTTCGTCATGATGTGATTTATTTATTTGATTTGATTTATTTGGTTGATATAACCTATCAGAAATCACAAAAACTGTTTTGTCCTGCCTACTCTGACTGGCTCAAATTAACCTGTACTTCATACACTCCCTCCTCCTCTATTTAAACTACACTGAACAAAAATATTAATGCAACATGCACCAATTTCAAAGATTTTCTTGAGTTACATTTCTAATAAGGAAATCAGTCGATTTAAATAAATTTATCAGGCCCTAAACTATGGATTTCACATGACTGGGAAAGTATTCAGACTCCTTGACTTTTTCAACATTTTGTTACGGGCAGCCAGCTCTAGGAAGAGTTTTGGTGGTTCCAATCTAATTCCATTTAAGAATGATGGAGGCCACTGTGTTCTTGGGGACCTGCAGTGCTGCAGACATTGGTACCCTTCCCCAGATCTCTGCCTCGACACAATCCTGTCTCGGAGCTCTACGGACAATTCCTTCGACCTCATGGCTTAGTTTTTGCTCTGACATGCACTGTCAACTGTGGGACCTTATATAGACAGGTGTCTGCCTTTCCAAATCATGTCCAATCAATTGAATTTACCACAGGTGGTCTCCAAGTTGTAGAAACATTTCAAGGATGATTAATGGAAACAGGATTCACCTGACCTCAATTTGGAGTCTCATAGCAAAGGGTCAAAATACTTATGTATGTAAGGTATTTCTTTTTTATATTTTTGATAAATTTGCAAACATTTATAACCTGTTTTCACTTTGTGATTATGGGGTATTGTGTGTAGATTGATTCAGAATTTTTTTATTTAATCCATTTAAGAATAAGGTTGAAACGTAACAAAATGTGGAAAAAGTCAAGGGGTCTGAATACTTTCCGAATGCTGTTGGTCACAGATGCCTTTAAAAAAAAAAAAAAACGGTAGGAGCGTGGATCAGAGAACCAGTCGGTATCTGGTGTGACAACCATTTGCCTCATGCAGCGTGACACATCTCCTTCGCATGGAGTTGATCAGGCTGTTATCCCACTCCTCTTCAATGGCTGTGCGAAGTTGCTGGATATTGGCGGGAACTGGAACACGTTGTCGTACACGTCGATCCAGAGCATCCCAAAAATGGGTGACATGTCTGGTGAGTATGCAGACCATGGAAGAACTGGGACATTTTCAGCTTCCAGGAATTGTGTGCAGATCCTTGCGACATGGGTCCATGCATTATCAAGCTGAAACATGAGGTGATGGCGGATGATGAATGGCACGACAATGGGCCTCCGGATCTTGTCACAGTGTCTCTGTGTAAATGAAGACAGAATGCCACGTGCTGGTTGGAGGAAGATACTGTTCCCTCCAGGAATGTCTGGGATCTTTCTGGCTTGGGGGGAGGGGGGTCAGGGTGGCTGACGAAGACCGAGCCCAGGGGGGAGAGACAGGAGGTCTGGCTGGAAATGAAGACTTGTTGTCTGGAAGAAGAGCCACTACAGTCCTCAAGCCTCCCAAACTGGAGACTGGAGATTTCTTTGGCCAAGGGTTTTATGTCTATGATCTGCATAGACCTCACTTCCCAAAAGGCACCTGTAGCCTGTCAAAGGACTGTGTGTCCGATGGCCGTCTATGGCAGTTCCAAACAGTAGGCTTACCTTTACTCGGTAGAGTAGCTTTGTGGATGAGCAGCAGACATTCTCTTCATAATCTACTACAGTAAATATAAATCAGGGCCCCGTGTAGCTCAGTTGGTAGAGCATGGCGCTTGCAACGCCAGGGTTGTGGGTTCGTTTCCCATGGGGGGCCAGTATGAAAATGTATGCACTCACTTAACTGTAAGTCGCTCTGGAGCGTCTGCTAAATGACTAAATTGTAAAAATGTAAATGCCAGATTTACAGCCTATGATTGCTCAGTTAAAATGGCAAAAAAAAATCTATAGTGCTGCAGTCGTCATTGGTGGCTAGGATATGGTTAGGGTTAGTCTAGTCCACAGGCAGTGACCTAAGCTTACCCCTGTCTGTCTTTCTGCGTGTGTTTGTATGCATGTAGTGTTTTGTTTAGTTGTCTGGTTGTTGACATCTGGCTGTGCTTTGGAGCAGAATAGTGCTGTAATTCTGTAATGATCTGATGCTGTGGAAGTGAACACTATTACAGCCAAATCTACTTAGCACTCCACTCAGGTCTAATTGCATTATCTTTGAAGGTAGGATGCCAGACAATATTGCCTTACACCAGGGTTCCCCAACTGGCGGCCCGCGGGCCGACTCTGGCTCGCGGGTGATTTTATTTGGCCCCCCAAGTTTCTTTTGTTTTTTTTGGGGGGGTGGGGGGGACATATTAGACTGTAAAAACACCAGCAAATCAGCTCCAATTGATTTCAATTTTGGAAATCTCTTTCAAAAGTATTTCCACGAATATCAGAGATACTTTTGGTCATTTAGTGTATGTGGACACCTGCTCGTTGAACATCTCATTCCAAAATCATGGTCATTAATATGGAGTTGGTCCCCCCTTTGCTGCTCTAATAGCTTCCACACTTCTGGGAAGGCTTTCCACTAGATGTTGGAACATTGCTGTGGGTACTTGCTTCCATTCAACCATAAGAGCATTAGTGAGGTCGGGCACTGATGTTGGGCGAATTCATCCCAAAGGTGTTCGATAGGGTTGAGGTCAGGGCTCTGTGCAGGCCAGTCAAGTTCTTCCACACCGATCTCAATAAAAACAATTTCTGTATGGACCTCGCTTTGTGCACAGGGGCATTGTCATGCTGAAACAGGAAAGGGCCTTCCCCAAACTGTTGCCACAAAGTTGGAAGCACAGAATCGTCTAGAATGTCATTGTATGTTGTAGCATTAAGATTTCCCTTCACTAGAACTAAGGGGCCTAGCCCCAGACCATTATTCCTCCTCCACCAAACTTTACAGTTGGCGTTTCCGCTGCTCCAGAGTCCAATGGCAGCGAGCTTTACACCACTCCAGCCGACGCTTGGCATTGCGCATGGTGATCTTAGGCTTGTGTGCGGCTGCTCTGCCATGGAAATGCATTTCATGAAGCTCCCGACGAACAGTTCTTGTGCTAACGTTGCTTCTAGAGGCAGTTTGGAACTCGGTAGTGAGTGTTGCAACCGAGGACAGACGATTTTTACACTCTACGCGCTTCAGCACTCGGCGGTCCCGTTCTGTGAGCTTGTGTGGCCTATCACTTCACGGCTGAGTCGTTGTTGCTCCTAGACGTTTCCACTTCAGAGTGCATTTACAGTTGACTAGGGCAGTTCTAGCAGGGCAGAAAATTGACGAGCTGACTTGTTGGAAAGGTAGCTTCCTAGGACGGTGCCACGTTGAAAGTCACTGAGCTCTTCAGTAAGGCCAATTCTACTGCCAATGTTTGTCTATGGAGATTGCATGGATATTGCATGCCTGTGTGCTCGATTTTATACACCTGTCAGCAACAGGTGTGGCTGAAATGGCCAAATCCACTAATATGAAGGGCTGTCCACATACTTTTGTATATATAGTGTATATGTGATCGTATACAAATGTAAGCAAGGTTTGAAATTATCTTTTTTTTTTTGTCAAATATTATATCTGTTTGGACTGGATTTGCATTCTACAAATCATTTGTAATTATGTTCCGGCCCCCTGACCATCCGCTCAAGAAAGAAATCGGCCCACGGCTGAATCTAGTTGATGATCCCTGCCTTGCACAGACATGTGCAATAACATTATTACTGTTATTGCACATTCACGCACACAAACACATTTTCTGCAAATTAGAGCGCGTATAGGTGTGCATTGTGGATCAGAATAGTGTGTTGGTGTAGTCAGCCACTCATGCATGATGTGGAAGTGTGTGTACTTGTTGTTCAACCATAGTCCTCCCACTCCACCACACACTCAGTAGGTCTGTGATGGTGTACTATCTAATCATGTGCTTAAATCTATAACCGGGGCAGAAGTGATTAGTTGTAGCCTGAAGTCAGATTCTCATTAGAGGTGCAATAGTGAGATAAAGCTCCCTGCTCTGCTCTGTTTGATACTAAGTTATGCTGATGAATGATGACTTCCATTAAACATTTCTTTCAGAGCAGCTGTTAATGTGGGCTGGAGCAAGAGAGGGGGGAGGAAGGGAAAGAGAGAGAGAGAGCTCTCCTTCTTCCCTTGGCTGTAATTAAAGCCTTAGTATCTATCGATCTCCATCTCATTGCTCTCCCTGGGAAGGGAAGGGAAGTGAGCCCCAGCCACCTCAACACACACGTAACAAGGCTTTATCTGTGGGAGCGGAGAGGCTGAGCTGAGGAGCAGGGAAGATGTTCTGTCTGTCTGCCTTGTTCCGGATGGGGGTGAAAAGCCATAAAAACACAGGGACAGTGTCTCTCTCTCTCTAAAAAGAGACTAGCTGGATTGTACCATTTGTGTGGGGGTGGGGATGCTCTCCCCCTTTTATACACAAGCAGGCATTGGCATAAACTGGTACATTGTGAAACCCAGTCATACAGTGACTAACACACTCATGGCGGGAGGGCTGACGGCCAGTTGTTTGGACTGGACTGAAGCCTGGATTAGACTCCTTCATGTTGGTCCAGTTCAGACACATTAGCATTGTTTCCATGGTTACAAAACGGAAACGACCCCCCCTCCTTTTTCCATCTCATTCATGCAGACCAACTCTTCCATTCAGAAGCCCCCTCCCTCTCTTCAACCCCCCCCCACCACCCCGACTCTACGCTATCTCTCGATCTCTCAAACTGGGTGAAACAGGGAAATGGAAATCTGCTGACAGCCCCTCTTGTGTGAGGCCAAAAGAGGGGTGTCGACAGAGGGAGAGAGTCTGTGACTGTGTTTGTGGAAAGCACTGCTGGACTGCAGAGCACTGGGTTTGAGGAGATTAAAGGCAATACTCAATACACTGACTGTAGTTGTTATGTAGTGTCTAGAGTACTGACCATTGTTGAGTTTAAAGGGCCCTACGCAAACCGAGCGTCCTATACGGTCCATTCCAAAATTTTAGCCAAACAAAGGTACATAGAACTACGTAGAAAGCGACGCTCAGTCACTGCGCTTGCATGAAGTGTGTAGCGGCCTTAAATTTGGCTAACGAACAGCCATGTCATGAAAATGAGGCGAATAGTCGGAATGTACACATTTTTATATCAGTTTGTCCTTTGTTTGGATCTCCTCGACCCTCTTCTGCACAACCTGTTTTGTTATTTTTAAACAAATGGCATTAATGTGTATTTAGATCACAAACCTCCCTGACTCAAAGGCTTGCTTTCCCCTCAAAGGAGGCCCAGTTCTAGAGCAGCAGCGTGCAGCCTGCCCCCCTCTCTTCTCGCTCCCCCTCCCCCCTCTCTTCTCGCTCCCCCTCCCCCCTCCTTAGCCCTGACCATCCTGTGCAGCGTGTGATTGGCTGTGAGGTCCTGGCAAGGCGGGGCCCAGGTCCAAGCAGGGCTGTGTGATTGTGTGCAGCGGGGTAATGTCACCCTGGCTCAGTATCACAGCTCTGTGTTCTGTACTCTCGTTCTCGTCTCAGCCGCTAAACACTTCATTAGCCTTTAACAAGACCACAGCGCCTGCCTGCTCCAAACTCCACTTTCACCTCTCTCTCTCAGATCTCTCTCTCTCTCAGCTCTCTCTCTCTCAGCTCTCTCTCTCTCAGCTCTCTCTCTCTCAGGTCTCTCTTTTTCTGTCGCCCATTTTTCTTTCCCTATTTCTCTTTACCTTAGACTGTATCTTTCTCCCGTTCTCTCCTTAATGCCTAGTTTCTTTCCTGTCAGTGTTCAGATCCAGACACTGTTGGTAATGATTGTGATTCTGAGCACTTCTAAAGGCCTCTAACAGAGTACAGGGAGGGATAGGAGGGGGGGGTAGAGGATTTTTGGACGGGTGCCCTCCTCTTGGACAGCCATCCTGAATAGGGCTCATTGATCCCCCTGGTCCCCTCTCTGTGTTGTCACCCCTGAATGGTCCTTTCAGGGCTCCAGACTAGCAGGTCGAGACCACCAAGCCTTCCTGTGTAAGAGAACTGGGCTAGGCCCAAGGCATTTAGACTGCTGCATTACACATACACAGCCAGCCAGCCACAGAGACACCCAAGCTCATCACACTCTCACTCTGATCCTGTACTACAGACTTTCTCACTTAAAGGGGCCCCAACAAGACACATTCAGTGTCACACACACACATATACACACACACACACACACACACACACACACACACACACACACACACACACACACTCAGACAGATGCAGCTTTTGTTTACTCCTTGTTTTGGGAATGCAGTTTTCGTGTCTCTTTATTGCTTCTTCTTTCTTCCTGCTCCCATAACAAGTAGGCCTACACACTTTTATCTTCCTTTGGTTTCCATAGTAACTGGTGTCTGTTTTGGGCTGAGCTTCTTTTAGGTACTTGGTTTGAGTCTCTTTCTCGGTTAGAGAGAAACAGAGTGAATGTCAGTGAGAGTGGTGACTGGAGGAAGCCGATGATTCACTGAGGGAGTGATGACATGCTAGCGGTGAGTGAGGGTGTTGGGGTCTGTCTGAAAGTGTTCCTCTGCCCAAGTCAGGTTGGTTTATTGGGTGGTTTATTCCTGATTCCCTCATGTGTGGTGAGTGTGAGTGAACATCACTACTACCCCTCACTGTGCTCTTGTCCCTAGTGGCTCCGATCTTCAAAGTTACACTTCTCTGGGTTTTGAAAAATGTATGTGCTTCTGGAGTGGTGCTCCATCAGTCCTGATATTTTGGATCTAGCCTGAACTCTCTCCATCTCTCCTTCTCTCCCTCCCTCTCCCTCTCCAGGGTGTACCCCAGCTGGCCTGTGCCAAGGCCCTGTACAACTATGATGGCAAGGAACCTGGGGACCTCAAGTTCAGTAAGGGTGACATCATCATCCTGCGACGCCAAGTGGATGAGAATTGGTACCACGGGGAGATTGGCGGAGTCCACGGCTTCTTCCCCACCAACTTTGTCCAGATCATCAAGCCGTTGCCGCAGCCCCCGCCACAGTGCAAGGCCCTCTACGACTTTGAGCTGAAAGACAAGGAGGCAGACAAGGACTGCCTGCCCTTCACTAAGGTGAGTTCTAGACAACTTTACTAGTGTTGCACGGTATACCGATACCACTGTAATATCATGGTACCAAAACATCATGATACCAACATTTTAGAATACCGTAATACCGTTTCATATGATCCTACCAACTTTTTCGGCCCTACCGATCTAAAGAACCCACTGGCGCCTGTTATAAAATGTTTATAAAGTCAGTTGAATTTTTGAAGCAACAGCAATTAGTCTCTTGTATGCACCGGTCCAATAATGTCCACTTCACTTTCATGCGCATATCACTTATGGCAGCTGTGATCAGCCAGCCGCATCCCCTACCAGCCCTCACTCACCTGCTTCTCAGTCTGCTCTTCCTGCACATCTATTCCTCCAGCACTTTTTAATATATAATATAGCCTTGATGGTGAGTGGGGATGGAGACCCTGATCAGTCTTCTGTTGTTACATTTGCTACATTGGAGCAGCACACAGGGAGCAAAGTTGATATATTGTATATAATTTCATGCCTGATAAACCCAAGAGCACAGGCCAGTCTGATTATAGGCTTTGCAAGTTCGCTGTCACGCAGCAGTGTCAGAGAAGAAAAACCGCTTTGCAACAGCATAGCAAATGTCTAGTCTCTAACTCAAATGGTTTGAAATAAAATTGACTCATATAACCGGAGCTAGCTTTTTTTCTTCCTGCGCGATTTCACGCACATTTGATATAATTTCACAAACCATGTCGCGGGATGTTTTAAACTAATCCTGGCCCGCTAATTATTGGTTTGAAATGTTCAGTCATGTTACCTAGCTAGCTAACAACCTGGTAACTTTACAGTAGGTCCAGGCAAATGTGATCGGCACAGGAAGAAAGGAAAAGGTTCTGCCACTCATAATAATAATAATAATAATAATATGCCATTTAGCAGACGCTTTTATCCAAAGCGACTTACAGTCATGTGTGCATAAATGTTTACGTATGGGTGGTCCCGGGGATCGAACCCACTACCCTGGCGTTACAATCGCCATACTCTACCAATTGAGCTACAGAGGCTACAACCACTCATGAGATGTTTATTCAAAGGTAGGCATAACTATATAAAACATCTGTTTTTCTGGTGCTCCTTACATTCTGTTTGGTGCCTAAAGTTTTTTTAAAAGTTGGGAGCAGTGTGTGTATGTTTGTGGGGGAGAGAGTGGTGTGTGTGCTTATGAGAGAGAGGGAAGGAGAGTGTGAGGGAAGGGAGAGTGTGTGTCTGTGTTAACTGAAGAGTAGAAGGTTTCATGCAGTGTTTTTTCCCCTTACTGCCACAATGACATGCAGATCATTATGCAAGTCTATTCCTTCCATTCCTCCAGCCAAATCACAGGTAGACCTTTGCAAATATGGGCAAATTAGCCATTCTGTGTTATACAATGAACAGTGTGAAGTTAAATTCAATATGTGTTGTATTGTGTAGAAGTGTGAATATCAGTGACAGATTTGTTGTGTAGCACATGTGCATAACGTAGAATATTCCCCCCGTGGTATCGTGATACTACTTGGTATCGTGATACTACTTGGTATCGTGATACTACTCGGTATCGCGATACTTGTCCTGGTATGGTATCGTTAGTAACATTTTGGTATCGCGACAACACTAGACTTACCACATAGGACATAGTAGCAAGAGTTTTAATTACAACCTGTACTGTTTTTTTCTAAGCTGTCATTTTCCTGAGTTTGGAGCGTCTAACAGCTCCAACAACTGTTGATTGTAAAATCTCTGTGGCTTAACCCTGACCACACCTCTGAGTGAGTTCCTGTTGGTCTTTGCAGACGTGTCCTGCTGATGCAATACATTTTTCCTCTTAGTGTAGAGGACCAGTTATCCACTCTCACACTGTACCTACTGTACCATTGCTAAATGGGTTGGAACCCCCCAAAAATCCAATGGTGTCGTTCTGAACAGAACCATCATTTTTTTTAGTTCCGTTCTACTGTTCCGACCAGCAAAAAAAAAACGGTTCGAACCCCAAAAAACTACTAGTTTATATCGTTCCTTTCTGTTCCTTTTTAAACCTCTGAAATTGATTTCTTTACATTTAGCTCGACATTAAATTACTTCACCAATCAGTGCGGATAGAGCAACTCACTATGGAAGCTATTTCATTATTATAGGAAAGTCGTTAAGAGCAAATTGTATTTTGCATGGTTTAATCATAATGAAAGACAAACACACGCACTGTGCTGCCAGTCACTATGGACAGACAAATGTAGGTCGTGAGATGCGACTGAAATTTTGCGGGTGGGGAGAGAGGGTGGAGGAGGCAGCTTGACTTGAAGCACTGGGCATCTTGTTATGACACACATTATCTGAATTAGACTACATTATAGGATCCTTAACTAGCATTGAAAAAGTTAATCAATTCTTCTCTAATTAAACATTTCTAAATCAAAGTTGTAACATCGTCAGTAGACTACAGTAACCTATGCATAGACGCTAAAATGAATAGAGCTTTGCTGCGATTTCTGTGCATTTAAAATAAAAGTTATGTTCCGGAACAGTATAGATCACTTTCGTTCCCTGTTCTGATTCTGTCCCTCGAATAATTTCGTTATTTTCAGATTTCCCTGAACCAGTTCCAACCCCTGTTGCTAAATTACTTCCTGGATCTATTCAAATCTACCCAATGGGTCATTACTTTCTATCTCTGTCGTCTGCTGTTTTTTACATTTACATTTACGTCATTATGTCTTATGAGCAAAATCTGAAACAAAGGAAAGTGCTTGTCTTGTTCCTTTCTAAACAGAATCCAGTTTATTGCTCTTATAATGTAGTCTAGCCTTAATGTGGGGACTTCCTTTAGTTTTTAATAAAACATGGTCTCTCTCTCTCTGCCTCTCTCTCTCTCTCTGCCGTCTCTCTCTCTCTGCCTCTCTCGTCTCTCTGCCTCTCTGCCTCTCTCTCTCTCTCTCTGCTCTCTTCTCTGCCTCTCTCTCTTCTCTTGCCCCTCTCTCTCTTCTCTCTCATCTCTCCTCTCTTCTCTCTGCCTCTTCTCTCTCTCTCTCTCTCGCTCTCTGCCTCTCTGCTCTCTCTCTTCTGCCTCTACTCTGCCTCTCTCGCTCTCTGCTCTTCTCTATCCTGCCTCTCTTCTCTCTCTGCCTCTCTCTCTCTCTCTCTGCCTCTTCTCTCTCTTGCTCTCTCTCTCTCTCTCTGCAGCTCTGCTCTCTCTCTCTCTCCTCTCTGCCTCTCTTCTCTCTGCTCTTCTCTGCCTCTCTCTTCGCTCTCTCTCTCCTCTCTCTCTGCTTCCTCTCTTCTACTCTCATCTCTCTCGCTTCTCTCTCTCTCGTCTTCCTCTGAACTACTCTCTCTCTTCTTCTCTCTCTTGACTCTGACTCTATCTGCATCTCTCTCTTACCTCTAGCGATCTCTGCTCTCTCTATCTCTCTCTCTCTCTATGCTGTCTCTCACTCTTTCTTCTCTCTCTCTTAGTCTCTCTCTATCTTCCTCTCTCTCCTCTTCCATCTCTCTCTTCTCTTATCCTTCCTCGCTCTCTCTCTATCTCTCTGCCTCTCTCTCATCTCTGCTCTCTCTCTCTCTCTCTGCCTCATCTCTCTCTTTCTCTTCTCTCTTCTCTCTCTCCCGCCCTATCTCTATCTGGGGATGCATGCTTCTATCTCTGCTCTCCTCTCTCTCTCTCTCTCTCTGCTGTCTCTCTGCCTCTCTCTCTCTCTCTCTCCTCTCTCTTCTTCTCCTCTCCTCTCTCTCTCTCTCGCTCTCTCCTCTCTCTCTCTCTCTCTCTGCCCCATAATTCTTCTATCCTGGGTGATTGTTTCTAGCTAGCTTTAATGACAGTCTGCCCAGTAACAAGCTCTATCTTTTCTCTTCTAGGATGATATTCTGACTGTGATTCGCAGAGTAGATGAAAACTGGGCAGAGGGAATGCTGGGGGATAAAATTGGAATCTTCCCCATATCATATGTTGAGGTAAGCGAAAATGTTCCTCCGAGTGTAAACTGGAGCGTCCCTGATATGTCCAGTGAAGCATTTCACCTCAGGAAGAGGTTGGAAAATGCTGATTGTGTTTTTTTGCTTTGTTAGACATCTTGCAAAATGTGCACATTAGTGCTCTCTCTGCTCTCCCCTGTTGCTTCGCCCCTGAAAACGGTCAAAATATATTTCACCAAAGCACTAAACATGCCAGTAGATTTACTGGTGATTGAGCACCTTCTCAGGAGAAGCTATTCCAATTCCTTTGTGGCCCTTAAATGCATCTATCGTTTCCTCTAAAAAGCCTTAGCAATCCTTAGTTTGACATCCTGAGGTAATTCACTGTCCTATAAAATAACTGTCTGCTGGGATGATGAACCTTACCTGTGTAATAGACCTGAAACATAACCGGAGAATATAGAAGTAACATGTAGAAGTAACCAGTGGGCACTATGAAAGCCTTTTAGAACAGCGTCTCTCGCTTAATGGAGGCACATGGTAGAGAGAAGCTCAGGAGTGGCAAGAGCAAAATAAAGAAGGAAAGACATTTTCCGTGTGAATGCTTTTGTGAAGGTAATGTTTGACTCTGACATCGAAAGTGACGTTCTTAGAAGCAGAGGAGAAAAACAAGATTTATTTACATTTTTTATGGCTCTATTCATGTGACAGATTTTAGATTAGTCTAATATCCCGACGGGGGCTGTTTTCACACAGCAGAGAAATACTATATTTTCCTCCAAGTAAGACATTTTTCACTCCGGATCTCGCACAGGTTACACAAATATGCAAATGATGAGTACTGTACATTCAGCATATATCACACAGTAAACAGCTTTTTAAAAGAAAATATGAACAATTCTGGCACTGTCATGGAGGACAAACTCAAATCTAGGTCTTGCGTATCCACACTTGATTATGGATTGGGAGTTCTGTGCAGTGATTCTATACTGATAACCGTTCTATATTTAAGCAATAAGGCCCGAGGGGGTGTGGTATATGGCCACAGCTAAGGGCTGTTCTTAAGCACGACGCAGCGTGGAGTGCCTGGACACAACCCTCATGGTATGTTGGCCATATAACACAAATATACCGCGGCTGTCAGCCAATCAGCATTCAGGGCTCGAACCACCCGGTATATACTTGGCTGTATATCTGATCTAGTGCTAAGTGTGTACATGGGACCACTTGGTGAACCCAGCTTAGCACTGCTTCTCCTCAGGATTGGTGTGAAAATTATCTGCTTTGATGTCCTAAGGAGAGGAAGAGCAGCTCTGGGCTATCTGTGTCGTGGAGTGCTCCCTCGTCCTCCCTGTGATTAGCTAAACCCTGTTTAGTGTTCCCCCTTTGATTCCTGCCTCACATGAAAGAGGCTGTGAAAGCCTACGGTCTCCTCTGCTCGCTGGCTGCCTGAAAACCCTACACTCCCCCTGAGCCCAAGGTCCTCTCTCAACCCCCTGGCACTGGCAGCGTTCTCAGCACACTGCTTTCTCCCATCAGATAACGGCACAGGGTGGTTTTTTCTACAACTAGTTTCATTATGAAGAGTGACAGCTTTCATTATCATATTACCAACTCTCTCCTATCTACCCCACCACATCCTTCTTTCCTCCCCTCCCATGTCCTCCCCTCCCCTCTCCTTTTCCCGCCTTCCCTTCCCTATATCCATTCTCTCCCCCTGTTCCCTCTCTCCTCCTGTAGTTTAACTCTGCAGCCCGTCTGCTGATTGAGTTAGACAAGCCTGGGGACTCCAGTGGGGACTCTGGCGAGGGGGCCTCGTCGGGCCCCCAGAGTAACGGTGGCCCCCACCGGGCCGGGGAGAAGAAGAACAGTAAGAAGCGCCACTCGTTCACCTCCCTCACCATGTCCCACAAGCCCTGTCTGGCCCCGCCCCCCCAGAGACACTCCATGGAGATCAGTGGGCCGGTCCTCATCAGCTCCTCCAACCCCACGGCAGCCGCACGCATCGGCGAGATCAGCGGAGGACTGTCCTGCAGTGCACCCTCACAGGTGAGATAGGAGGGGGGGAGAGAGCGAGAGAGAGGGAGGGGAGGGGGTAAGAAGAGGGAGCTGCTGCGTTCCCTCTTCTCCAGTGTCTTTGTACTGTTTGGTTAGGGGCCTTGTATTCAATGAGGCAGCCACTAAATGGAGAAAACAGTATGTCTGAAGCACTCTTGTATATGATGAATGGACTTAATTGACCCAGATCCCAAAGTCTATTGTCCCTAGTAATTAATTCCTCCACAATTTACTGCAGAAATTTGTTCTGAGCATAACCCCCTTAAACCCGAATTGTAAAAACCAGCATGTTGGCCAGCATAGCAGCTCATCTGTCTATGGCTGGGAGTCTGTACTATGGACAAGTGTATAATCACTGCCATTGATTTCATGGTGATGATGGACTTGGATGTGGCTGTACTCCTCTCTGTCAGTGTGTGTCCTGCCTCCTCCTGTCCATGTCGGCTCCACACTGTCCATCTGGGCTTGTTAATGAGTGAGGAACAGAGGGAAACAATGTGCACTGGAGACGCTCATGCAACAAGCACAAAGCAACAAGCAGATTCCACGCTCTTGTTTTCATCAGATGTTTTTTTCTGTGATAGGCTCCCACTCTCCTTATGTCAGCAATTATCCACACTTCTCCCCCGTCATTCCGAACAGGCCAGGGCGCTCTGTCCAATTATCCACACTTCTCCCCTGTCATTCCGAACAGGCCAAGGCTCCGTCCAATTATCCACACTTCTCCCCTGTCATTCCGAACAGGCCAAGGCTCCGTCCAATTATCCACACTTCTCCCCCGTCATTCCGAACAGGCAAGGCTCCGTCCATTCCACTTCTCCCCCGTCATTCCGAACAGGCCAAGGCTCCGTCCAATTATCCACACTTCTCCCCCGTCATTCCGAACAGGCCAAGGCTCCGTCCAATTATCCACACTTTCTCCCCCGTCATTCCGAACAGGCCAAGGCTCCGTCCAATTATCCACACTCTCCCACCGTCATTCCGAACAGGCCAAGGCTCCGTCCAATTATCCACACTTCTCCCCCGTCATTCCGAAACAGGCCAAGGGCTCCGTCCAATTATCCACACTTCTCCCCCGTCATTCCGAACAGGCCAAGGCTCCGTCCAATTATCCACACTTCTCCCCCGTCATTCCGAACAAGGCCAAGGCTCCGTCCAATTATCCACACTTCTCCCCCGTCATTCCGAACAGGCCAAGGGCTCCGTCCAATTATCCACACTTCTCCCCCGTCATTCCGAACAGGCCAAGGCTCCGTCCAATTATCCACACTTCTCCCCCGTCATTCCGAACAGGCCAAGGCTCCGTCCAATTATCCACACTTCTCCCCCGTCATTCCGAACAGGCCAAGGCTCCGTCCAATTATCCACACTTCTCCCCCGTCATTCCGAACAGGCCAAGGCTCCGTCCAATTATCCACACTTCTCCCCCGTCATTCCGAACAGGCCAAGGCTCCGTCCAATTATCCACACTTCTCCCCCGTCATTCCGAACAAGCCAAGGCTCCGTCCAATTATCCACACTTCTCCCCCGTCATTCCGAACAGGCCAAGGCTCCGTCCAATTATCCACACTTCTCCCCCGTCATTCCGAACAGGCCAAGGCTCCGTCCAATTATCCACACTTCTCCCCCGTCATTCCGAACAGGCCAAGGCTCCGTCCAATTATCCACACTTCTCCCCCGTCATTCCGAACAGGCCAAGGCTCCGTCCAATTATCCACACTTCTCCCCCGTCATTCCGAACAGGCCAAGGCTCCGTCCAAGTGTTTGAAATTACGGCTGCGTGTCTCCACTCGCCCGCAAAAAAGACTCCTGCTTAGCCCCCGAGGTTTCCACAGCAACCTCGGAATGGCAACCACTCACAGCTGCTCTGTGGTTGTCAGGCTCTTTAGAGAGAGGAGGGGGGGGGGCTTGACAGACAGGCAGACAGACAGTTTAGCAGGCAGACAGATGGACAGTTTAGCAGGCAGACAGACACATAGACTATAACATTGACAGACAGAGACAGACAGATGATTAGTTAGCGTCTCAGGCAGGCTGAAGCGTTCTGTGACTGACGGGGGGCTGACAGAACCTTCAGTAGGTTGCTTAGCTTTTTTCATTTTCTCTCCAGTTGATAAGAGAACAGCGTAGAGGAGCATTGAGACTACAACAGCCTCACCACAGCCAGCCTGGTATACAGAGTAGGGACTTTTATACTAACATTGCCAATGAGCATTCACTCTCTTTCTTTACATGAAGGTCATATGTTGACTTAATTTCATTTGTGTTATTTTGGTTTGAAGTACACTATATATACAAAAGTATATGGACACCCCTTCATATTAGTGGATTCGGCTATTTCAGCCACACCCATTGCTGACAGGTGTATAAAATTGAGCACACAGCCATGCAATCTCCATAGACAAACACTGGCAGTAGAATGGCCTTACTGAAGAGCTCAGTGACTTTCAATGTGGCACCGTCATAGGATGCCACCTTTCCAACAAGTCAGTTTGTCAAATGTCTGCCCTGCTCGAGCTGCCCTGGTCAACTGTAAGTGCTGTTGTTGTGAAATGACTAAAATGTAAAATGTACAAATGTAAGTGGAAACGTCTAGGAGCAACAACGGTTCAGCCAAGAAATGATAGGCCACACAAGTTCACAGAACGGGACCGCCGAGTGCTGAAGCGCGTAGAGTGTACAAATCGTCTGTCCTCGGTTGCAACACTCACTACCGAGTTCCAAACTGCCTCTAGAAACAACGTCAGCACAAGAACTGTTCGTCGGGAGCTTCATGAAATGGGTTTCCATGGCCGAGCAGCCGCACACAAGCCTAAGATCACCATGCGCAATACCAAGCGTCGGCTGGAGTGGTTTAAAGCTCGCCGCCATTGGACTCTGGAGCAGTGTTCATTGGAGTGATGAATCACGCTTCACCATCTGGCAGTCGATGGACAAATCTGGGTTTGGCGGATGCCAGGAGAATGCTACCTGCCCCAATGCATAGTGCCAACTGTAAAGTTTGGTGGAGGAGGAATAATGGTCTGGGCTAGGCCCCTTAGTTCCGGTGAAAGGAAATCTTAACACTACAGTATACAATGACATTCGAGACGATTCTGTGCTTCCAACTTTGTGGCAACAGCCCCGTGCAGAGAGCGAGGTCCATCCAGAAATGGTTTGTCGAGATCGGTGTGGAAGAACTTGACTGGCCTGCACAGAGCCCTGACCTCAACCCTATCAAACACCTTTGGGATGAATTGGAATGCCGACTGCGAGCCAGGCCTAATCACCCAACATCAGTGCCCAACCTCACTAATGCTCTTGTGGCTGAATGGAAGCAATTCCCCTCAGCAATGTTCTAACATCTAGTGGAAAGCCTTCCCAGAAGAGTGGAGGCTGTTATAGCTGCAAAGGGGGGACCAACTCCATATTAATGCCCATGATTTTTGAATTAGATGTTCGACGAGCAGGTGTCCACATACTTTTGGTCATGTAGTGTATTTCAAAAGGAGTATTTTCTCTCTGAAATGTGTTTACGTATTAAACCAACATGGCTTTATCGTCTCAGTCGTTTGACAGCATTCAGAGTGGTCTCTCCCTCGTAGTCCCCGGCTCTTTCTGACTGTTGCAGCAGTCAGAAATGTGGCATTTATTTTGGAGGAGTGATTCTCTTCTTGGTTATATTTTGAGTTGGAGAATAGAGTGTACCATTGAGTGTCTTCTCGCTGTCTCACTCCCCTGGGCGCTGGGCTGCAACACATTTCAGACACACTGACATGCTTTACCCACAGCTTCTCCTGGGAAACAGCAGCCTCACAAATCCTTTCTCCAACTGCTGGCATTCTACAGGAACTGTCAGAGTATTTTTGTGCATCCACATACCTTTCATTTTGGGATGATCCAGCTCTCATTAAAGCCTTGGCCACACAGGGAGGGGAGGGGAGAATCATGTCTCATCAACTCTTCAGACTTGGCTTTATCTGCCCTCATTATGAACCAGGCACGCTCAGTATTATAAAACCTCCATTCCCACCTGGGAGGTGAGTCTGCTCTTTGAAACAGGAGCGATAGAACTCATGATGGGTTTGATTTATAGATGAATATGTTTAATAAAAACCCATACAAAGAAGATGGAGAGAGACCCCAGGTGGAATCTGTGTGGCTCAGTCTCTCACCTCGCTTCTCTCGCTCTTCTTCTCTTCCTCCTTCAAAGCAGACAGAAGAACAACAAAGGGAAGCAGGAGTAGCTTGGGGGGCCAGAGGGAGGGAGTGTATGGGAATGAACACGCCCTCTGTCCACTGCTTTTATTTCAGTCAGAGGGAAGAGAAATGAAGAGACTGTTAACTAGATATATAAAGGAGCCTGCAGTGTATAAAAACAGAACTGCTACACTTTAATATGTTGTAAAATGGAACACTGTCATTTCCGTTGTAATTGATGTGCCAGTGCTGTACACATACACTCACATATGTTCCATGTGGTTTATACACATATAGCTAAATGCACAACCCAGATATAGCCTAGTACAGTACTCCATGTGTGGGTATGGATGTGGGTACGCAGACCCGCGAGCCACTGCAGCCCCTCACAATGAGTTCAGATTTTTTCGTGGCCATCTTGCCTGATTGCACCTTCCCCTGCTACACTCGTGGCTACTGAATTGTACAGTTGGTTGAGTTTGGTATGGGTCCTCTGTAATGATTTACCTTGAGGCTGCTCTGCTTTGTCTGGGGCAGTCATGCATGGCGTGGTGGGGAGGAAAGGTTACAAGAAGACATTGTGTGTCCAACAGCCCTGTGAGTCGGTGTCACACAACACGTGAATCACTGTGGTTCACTTTCTCTCAGCAAGGGGCCTCCGCAGTCATCCGTCTTCACCCGGCCAATGAAAACTTGTTCTTGACAGTCATATGACCTCACCCAGCCAAGCGTGTCATCAGGACACCTGCACAGCTTGACTTAGCCAATTGGGTCCACCGCTGCTGTGAAGGCGACATTTCCATTTTAATGTGACATTTTAAGGCCATGTGTGACATGTTTTAGAAACTGGGTTGGGTAGGTTACTTTCTGAATGTAATGCATTCCAGTTACTAGTTACCTGTCCAAAATTATAATCAGTAATGTAACTTTTGGATTACCCAAACTCAGTAACATAATCTGACTATTTTCTGTTAATTTTGGATTACTTTCCCCTTAAGAGGCATTAGAAGAAGACAAAAAGGATCCATCAAACGCATTTGGTGTGTCATCATAGTGGTCTCTGACTTGTGGTTGGACTCGCTCAGGTGGAACAAACTTAAAACTTGCTCCTTTTTTCAATGCTGAGTTGAATGAGTTGAATGTCCTTGAGAAAACAGAAAGGTGTCATTAATGTATTGTTTTCTCGCAAACATCCTTTCTGAATTGAAAAAGTAATCATCTAGTTTTTCAAAAGTATCTCTAATCTGATTACAATATTTGTGCTGGTAACGTAACTGGGTACAGTTTTTTTGTAATCGGATTACATGTAATCTGTTACTCCCCAGCCCTGTTTAGAGATGAAATAACTTAGTTAGTTCAAACATGAGTCTTCTGCCCATGTGAGACTGGATGCGAGGAGACAGACTGGCACAAATGGACAAAGACATCTGTCTCCTCAGATGGAGGGTTGCAACTATCGTTGAAATGCCATAGTTGTTCTAGCACATAGTTCTGTGTTGTGTGTGTGTGTGTGTAATGCTATTATATTGTAGGGGAGTAGTGGTGGTATTGGTTGAGTAAGTTGTCTGACTTTGTGTCCATCCTCAACAGGTACACATCTGTACAACTGGACTCATAGTGACCCCTCCCCCCAGCAGTCCTGTTACTACGGCAACTGTCTTCACGTTTCCCCCGGAGACAAGCTACGCATCCATCCCTGTGGTAGGTGGAGTTCTCTTTTCAACTGCAACTACACTACTGGACCTCTAATACTGGTTTTAAAAGATTTTAAATTAGCCCATGGCACTTCACTTACATCAGGTTCCTCTTAAAACTGAACCTGCATACAGTAGCATATGGGCATCTGCTGCCATGGCGTGTTCAGCTAAGTGTGTGGAAGGGTGTGTGGCTGTGTTGGTATGTGGTACTGCTGAGAATGTGTACATAAAGGTTGAGCTCTCTGCTTCAATGGGGAACTCTACATGATGTTTCTGTACAGATGATTTCTCTGGCCTGCAGGCAATCTAATTATCTCCGCTCCAGCGTCAGCAGCGCACCAACACACACTCTCTCTCTGTCTCTCTCTGTCTCTCTCTGTCTCTCTCTGTCTCTCTCTCTCTCTCTCTCTCTCTCTCTCTCTCTCTCTCTCTCTCTCTCTCTCTCTCTCTCTCTCTCTCTCTCTCTCTCTCTCTCTCTCTCTCTCTCTCTCTCTCTCTCTCTCTCTCTCATATACACTAGCATGTAGGCCCTTCTGAGTGCTGTGCCACCCCCTCCTCCCTCCCCCATTGCTACATGGTAGTTATGTCTGTCTGCTCCTCAGGCCTGTTAATGTCAAGCTGAGACACATATCTTGCTCTGCAGATACAGTGCCTTTAGAAAGTATTCATACCACTTGACTTATTCCACATTTTGTTACAGCCTGAATTCAAAATGGATTAAATAAATAAAAATCTCACCTATCTACACACAATACCCCATAATGACAGTGAAAACATGTTTTTAGAAATGTTTGCAAATTTGTTGAAAATGAAATAAAGAATTATCTAATTTACATAAGTATTCACACTCAAATCAATACTTTATCACCTTTGGCGGCGATTGCAGCATTGAGTCGTCTTGGGTATGTCTGTATCAGCTTTGCACATCTGGATTTGGGGATTTTCTCCCATTCTTCCTTGCAGATTTTCTCAAGCTCTGTTAAGTTAGATGGGAAGTGGCGGTGAACCGCATTCTTCAAGTCTTTCCACAGATTTTCAATGGGATTCAAATCTGGGCTTTGGCTTGGCGAGGACTTTCACATTCTTGTTCTGAAGCCATTCCAGCGTTGCTTTGGCTGTATGCTTGGGGTCGTTGTCCTGTTGGAACAAATCTTCGCCCCAGTCTAAGGTCGTTTGCACTCTGAAGCAGGTTCTCATCAAGGATTTGCCTGTATTTGGCTCTGTTCATTGTTCCCTCTATTCTTACCAGTCACTGCAGCTGAAAAACATCCCCATAGCATGATGCTGCCACCACCATGATTCATGGTAGGGATGGTGTTAGACGGGTGATGAGCTGTGCCTGGTTTTCTCCAGACATAGCGTTTTGCATTCAGGCCAAATAGTTCAATTTTTGTCTCATCAGAACACAGAATCTTTCACGTGCCTTTTTTGCAAATTCCAGGTGTGCTGTCATGTGCCTTTTTCTCAGGAGTGGCTTCCATCTGGCAACTCTCCCATAAAGCCCAGATTGGTAAAGTGCTGTAGAGACTGTTGTCCTTCTGGCAGGTTCTCCCATCTCAGCCAAGGAACTCTGTAGTTCTGTCAGTGGTCATTGGGTTCTTGGTCACCTCCCTGAACAAGGTCCTTCTTGCCCGGTAGCTCAGTTTGGTCGGACGGCCAGCTCTAGGCAGAGTCTGGGTAGTTCCATATTTTCATAATTTCCCAGTGATGGAGAGCACTGTGCTCTTGGAAACTTTCAACACTCTAGAAATGGTTATACCCTTCCCCAGGTATATGCCTCATCACAATTATATCTCAGAGATCTACAGACAGTTCCTTGGACTTCATTGTATGGTTTCTGCTCTGACATGCACTGTCAACTGTGGGACCTTATATAGACAGGTGTGTTTCTTTCTAAATCATGTCCAAACAATTGAATTGGCCACAGGTGGACTCCAATCAAGTTGTAACAACATCTCAAGGATGATCAAATGAAATTTGATGCACATGAGCTCAATTTGGAGTGTCATAGGAAAGGGGTCTGAATAATTATGTCAATTAGATGGTTCTGTATTTCATTTTCAATAAATTGGCAAATATTTCTAAAAACATGTTTTCACTTTGTCATTGTAGGATATTGTGTGTAGGTGGGTGAGAGAAAAAAATATATTTTGAATTCAGGCTGTAACACAACAAAATGTGGAATAAGTCAATGGGTATGAATACTTTCTGAAGGCACTGTACATGTTTAGTAGAAAACAAACCCCTTTCCCAGTACACCAACGTGTCTGTGTGTATGATTGTGTAATGGAGTTGTTTTGGTCTGGTTTCTGTCCCGTTAAAGAGGCAGAACAAGACAAGAGAGCCCAGAGGAATCCGCTCAGAGCGGGCCTGTGGGCTGAACTATATAACGTTTAAAGAAATGTTTTTACTTTCATATGGTCCTCATTAAACACAGCAATGGATTCACCAGGCCCCAGTGTCGTTTCTATAGCAACAAACAAACAAGCACGCTGGAGATTCCTTCCCAGTTCTAGGGGGAAGTTGGGGACAAGACCAAACCTCTGTGCCAAGCGATACTCTCCCTCATTGAACAGAGAGTAAATGATATCCCTCTTTCACTGACCAGTTTCTCTCATTATGTAACGCCTAGTCAGTCATTGGTTAAAAGGCCAGGGGTATGGTTCATGTGTCATTGCATTAACGTAACACTGTCATGTTGCACTTAAGGCAGTGAATTGTTTATTTGTGGTTCTGGTCTTTCTTTCGGTTCTAAATAAATATGATTTTGTATGTGAGATTCGATTCAAGCTTACTGTGAACTGTTCTAATATGCTGTCTAATCTTTGTTTCAGACTGTCGTTGTTGATGTTTGTTGTTTTCATTGACAGGATCCTCTTCCTCCTCCCCCACCACCTCCACCACAATCCTCAGCAGTGGGAGCAGCCTCCTCATTGGCTGCCAGTCAAAGACCCTCCCACGGCACCAGCGACCAGAGTGGGCGACAGAGACCCACAGTGTGAGTACACACACACAGATGCATGTAACACTCTTCCACGTATTAAGTACAAGCACACTAAACCAGAAAGAACATGCAGTGAAACAGCAGGTTCCACACATGGCTAGGGCATGGGTCCTTCTGGGTGGGTTCTGGGAGTTCTCCAAGCCTCTGAATAACCCCTCAGCTGTCAGTGTGGAGCACCAGAGGTTGACCCAGAGCACCAGTGACGGATGAAAGGGCAACACCTGTGGGGGACAGAGTCTCTTGAGTCCTATCAGAGACCCTGCCTGTCACCTTTGACCCCTGACCCCTCACTTCATTACTCCTCTGAGACTCCAGACACCTGATAGGAATTAGATACGGCCCACCTCCCCAAAGCGTGTTTCTGTCTGTGTGTGTCTCGACATTTTTCTTCATTTCCCCCTCCCCTGACACCAGTGAAAGTGTCTATGCTGTCTGTCAGCAGTGGTTCTTTAAAGCCTCTTCCCCTGTGAGGTTCCTGGAGACGTGCCTTTCCCACTCCCTTTACAGCACCTCAGTGGAGCCCTGACCCACATAGCTGTGTCATCCAGAACGTAACCATAGCATTCCTCTATAGGAGTATAGTGCAGCTTTCTCTGAATGTGCTGTAGGAAGACCAGTCCAGAAGGGACTGTCCGTCTCTGTCATCCTGTAAGGGTTTCAGAGAGGGAGAGGAGATGTTGATGAACATTCTGTAGACTGTGGAAGGGGGGTCAATTTAGCTTGTGACAGACAAGATGTTCTAAATACACAACACATCTTTGATTGAGTCATTTCCTCCTGAGGGTAATTGGACTGTCCCCGTGTGTGTGACCATGCATGTGTTTGATGTTTCCCGTCTCTCTCGCCTCCCCCCTCTAGTTACGTGGCCCTGTTTCCCTACACCCCCCGTAAGGAGGATGAGTTGGAGTTGAGGAAGGGAGAGATGTTCCTGGTGCTGGAGCGCTGTCAGGATGGATGGTTCAAAGGCACCTCCATGCACACTGGCAAGATAGGAGTGTTCCCTGGCAATTACATGAGCCCCGTCAGCAGGTCTGTCACTATAGTATACGTGCGCACACACACTCTCACACACTCTCACACACACATGTACACACTGATTATCTCTGCATATGCAGCTCCCCTAAGGCTCCCAGCCCTAACCTCTCCTCTCTGTTTGTCCCATTAGGACGGTTTCAGGCAGCACCCAGCCCAAATTGCCCCTGGCTCTGTGCACCCAGGCTGGGCGAGGGGTCACCATCGTCAGCCCCTCCTCCACTCCTCTGGGGGCCGTCGTTCCAGGGCCTGACTTCAACAAGGCCCTCACCATCTGTCCGGGCCCCGCCCTCTCCAGCCCTTTCCCCGCTGCCATGGTGACTACTGCTCACGTGGCAACGGGACAGGCCAAGGTGCTCATGCACATGACGTCCCAGATGACTGTTAACCAGGCACGCAACGCTGTCAGGACAGGTAGGATCCCCTGGGGGAAATGGAAGGGTGCAAGGATACATTCTATGTAGCCAGTGTGGGATAATGTATGTGATTTGTGAATATCAAAAATGGGTTGTGAAATGATGAAATGGGTATATGGTATGTGTGTATGGTCTAACCCTGTGCCTCCTCTGCCCCCAGCTGCATGCCACAGTCAGGACCGGCCCACGGCTGCTGTGACACCCATCCAGTCCCAGACATCTGTAGCCTACCTGGCAGTGTGTCAGTCCCAGACCTGCTCCTCCTCCTCCTCCAACCCTGCCCAGGGCTGTGTTCGCGCTGGGGTGGCACTGGGATGTGCCGCCACCTCCCTCACCCCGCCCAACGTCAGTGCCACGTCCCTGGATGGCGATGCCCTGCGACCAGTGGCAGTCCTCACCATGCCTGTCACCCCCTGGCAACGGCAGCTCCACATCAGCTAACTCCTCCCTCGCCTGTCGGCTGGACAAGGATGGCAAGGTGGGCGTTCATGATAGCACCCTAGTAGGGATGTGCATCTATCCCTTTCAGGACGATTCGATATGTATCTAGATGTATGGGCTCCGATACGATACAGGAACGATAGGTTTAAGTTTGAAACGATGCGATTCGGTTCGATGTTATACAATTCGATGCACTAACATTTGCTGCTTAAACACATTAATTGTCCATTCTTAATTACAATCTGCTGCTTATGGAGCTCATGAGCTGGATCTGTCTGAGCTGGATCTGTCTGAGCTGGATCTGTCTGAGCTGGATCTGTCTGAGCTGGATCTGTCTGAGCTGGATCTGTCTGCGCTGACTTCTGTGTGTGTATACATCAATTATGTATATGTTGAATGGAAGTTTTGATGGAGTGAGCTTCTCTTCTCCCGCTTCGACCATGCAATGTGGGTAACAAAAGTAATTGCTGTACTCGTTATGAAATTATCAACATTACCGTGTATATCTAAAAATGACTATATACACTGAGTGTACAAAACATTCAGAACACCTGCTCTTTCCATGACAGACTGACCAGGGGAATCCAGGTGAAAGCTGTGATCTCTTATTGATGTCACTAGTTAAATCCATGGATTTTGTATCAAATCAAATGTTATTTGTCACATACACGTGTTTAGCAGATGTTATTGCGGGTGTAGCGAAATGCTTGTGCTTCTAGCTCCGACAGTGCAGTAATATCTAACAAGTAAAATCTAACAATTTCCAACATATACCCAATACACACAAATCTAAGTAAGGAATGGAATTAAGAATATATACATATATGGACGAGCAATGACAGAGCGGCATGGACTAAGATACAGTAGAAAATTATAGAATACAGTATATACATATGAGATGAATAATGCAAGATATATATTAAAGTGACTAGTGTTCCATTTCTTAAATGTATGTGTGCCAAATGTATGTGTGCCATTCAGAGGGTGAATGGTCAAGACAAAAGATTGAAGTGCCTTTGACCGGGGTATAGTAGTAAGTGCCAGGAGCACCGGTTTGTGACTTGCGACTTACAGTTAGTGAGTGCATACATTTTTCATATCTTAGACATTTGAACTGGGGACCGATGCATATCGGTGAATCGTTACATCCCCACACCTTAGCCATCAGTATTGCTATCTGCAATGTTAGCATATCTCTCACCTATTTCTCACATTTGTATATACAGTGAGGGAAAAAAGTATTTGATCCCCTGCTGATTTTGTACGTTTGCCCACTGACAAAGACATGATCAGTCTATAATTTTAATGGTAGGTTTATTTGAACAGTGAGAGATAGAATAACAACAAAAAATTCAGAAAAACTCATGTCAAAAATGTTATAAACTGATTTGTATTTTAATGAGGGAAATAAGTATTTGACCCCTCTGCAAAACATGACTTAGTACTTGGTGGCAAAACCTCTCACAGAGGTCAGACGTTTCTTGAGTTGGCCACCAGGTTTGCACACATCTCAGGAGGGATTTTGTTCCCACTCCTCTTTGCAGATCTTCTCCAAGTCATTAAGGTTTCGAGGCTGACGTTTGGCAACTCGAACCTTCAGCTCCCTCCACAGATTTTCTATGGGATTAAGGTCTGGAGACTGGCTAGGCCACTCCAGGACCTTAATGTGCTTCTTCTTGAGCCACTCCTTTGTTGCCTTGGCCGTGTGTTTTGGGTCATTGTCATGCTGGAATACCCATCCACGACCCATTTTCAATGCCCTGGCTGAGGGAAGGAGGTTCTCACCCAAGATTTGACGGTACATGGCCCCGTCCATCGTCCCTTTGATGCGGTGAAGTTGTCCTGTCCCCTTAGCAGAAAAACACCCCAAAGCATAATGTTTCCACCTCCATGTTTGACGGTGGGGATGGTGTCCTTGGGGTCATAGGCAACATTCCTCCTACAAACACGCCGAGTTGAGTTGAGACCAAATCGAGCTCTTTGGTATCATCTGACCACAACACTTTCACCCAGTTATCCTCTGAATCATTCAGATGTTCATTGGCAAACTTCAGACGGGCCTGTATATGTGCTTTCTTGAGCAGGGGGACCTTGAGGGCGCTGCAGGATTTCAGTCCTTCACGGCGTAGTGTGTAACCAATTGTTTTCTATGGTCCCAGCTGCCTTGAGATCATTGACAAGATCCTCCCGTGTAGTTCTGGGCTGATTCCTCACCGTTCTCATGATCATTGCAACTTCACGAGGTGAGATCTTGCATGGAGCCCCAGGCCGAGGGAGATTGACAGTTATTTTGTGTTTCTTCCATTTGCGAATAATCGCACCAACTGTTGTCACCTTCTCACCAAGCTGCTTGGCGATGGTCTTGTAGGACATTCCAGCCTTGTGTAGGTCTACAATCTTGTCCCTGACATCCTTGGAGAGCTCTTTGGTCTTGGCCATGGTGGAGAGTTTGGAATCTGATTGATTGATTGCTTCTGTGGACAGGTGTCTTTTATACAGGTAACAAGCTGAGATTAGGAGCAGAAATCTTTCTGATTGAGAGGGGGTCAAATACGTATTTCCCTCATTAAAATGCAAATCAATTTATAACATTTTTGACACGTGTTTTTCTGGATTTTGTTGTTGTTATTCTGTCTCTCACTGTTCAAATAAACCTACCATTAAAATTATAGACTGATCATGTCTTTGTCAGTGGGCAAACGTACAAAATCAGCAGGGGATCAAATACTTTTTCCCTCACTGTACCTTCTTCTATCATGCCTAGCATATTTGGCTGATGTGCAACACGGCTACAGTGGATTGGTGAAATAGTTCACATTTGCCCGGAGTGTCTGGCGCCCTTGTTTACCTCAGATTGTTTTGAATACCAGGCGCTCAGTTTTTTGTTGAACACAGGGTACTTTCCAGTTTATCTTAAGCAACAAATTCACACACAGCGCTCCGTCTGTTTCACGGGCGAGCCATGGGAATTGAGTTAGAGAGTGAGAGAAACTCTGCTGGCTGCAGCCCTGAAGACATCATTACACAACAGTGATTAGTCTGGAGCAAATTATCTCATCAGGCCCTAAGCTCTAAGGCAGCCAACAACCTAATGACCAAGACAATGGATTATGTTTATGCAGATTTTACTGTCCACACAATTAGTTCCTGTAAGACAGTCTATATCCAGCCTACACTGTTATCAGTGCATGGTAGTAGCAACATGATTTACTTTTTTCCTCTGTTTCATTCTGTCGTTCTGCAGAGGGAAAAGAAAGGTCTTCTGAAGCTGTTGTCGTCTAACAAGAAGAAGTCTCGCCCCTCTCCCCCCTCCTCCCCCACCCTGGAGGCAGAGCAGGCTGCTACGGGGGAGGTCTTCCAGGGGGCCATGGGCCCCGACACCACCCCTTCCCTCTCCTCTGCTGGCGTTGTCGTGGGTAACCATGGCCGTGCAGTCCCCTGCCCTGTGGAGCCTGAGTCTACTGCAGCCACTGCCTCCTCTTCATCCTCCTCTTCCTCAGCCCCAGAGTTAACACACCGTAAGAGCAGCCCACTGGATGGCTGTGCCCCCATCGCCCCGCCCCCTCGCCAGGCATGCTCCTCCCTCATCTCACAGCAGCACGACGCTCGGCCAATCCTATGCGAGAGGTACAGTATTTCTTATATCGTAGGACAGTGACATATTATTAAAAAGGTCTGTCTGATGTTGTGATTCTGCTGGATGTGTGGTGTGTGTAGCGTCTCTGACCTCCTGTGCTTCTGCTAAGTGTGTGTCAGTATAGTATCCTCTCTGATCATCCCCCCCAGGTACAGAGCGGTGGTGTCCTACCCCCCTCAGAGTGAGGCAGAGCTGGAGCTCAAGGAGGGAGACATAGTGTTTGTCCACAGGAAGAGGGAGGACGGCTGGTTCAAAGGAACACTCCAGAGGAACGGCAGGACCGGACTGTTCCCTGGCAGCTTCGTAGACATCATCTGACTGACCGTCTGACTCACACTGGACTACAGTAGAACGACCGTGGCCTGACCATACCATGAACTAACCATCAATGGAACCACATCTAACTTTGTTGTTGCCTTGTTTTGGGGCCAAGCTGCGAGCCAACCAGATCAAGTTGCTAGGGACAGGATGAGATGGATACATACACAACATTCAAAGTGGTCCTCAAAGCACCAAGGAGAAGAATGATGAAATAGTTTAAACAGAGCTGCAGAGGAAGAGGAGATGACTTTCAGTTGAAAGCACAGTGGACAGAGCTGGAGGAGCGCACACGACTCATGTTGATTTTCTTTTTGTCAGTTATTTATATCTGTAACAATTCAAAACGTTAAATGTGTGCCTTGTACTGTTCCTCACTTTAGTGTATATAAAGAAACAAAGATCAGAGAGTCAGAAAACAAATAATATGAACTGTTAATAGATGGAAATATGACAAATTGTAACTTATTTTGTTGTTTTTTTCTGGAAAATATTAGCTTGGCCTTTCGTTGTTAAGGGTTTTAATTGGCACCTGCCTTATGACATGTTTCCTACATCACTTTGTGCTTGTCTCTCATTGGCTGCCGTGCTGTATGTTAATACTGCATGGTGTCTCCACTGATTGGCTGTTGAGCGCAAACGTAAAGAATACAGCAGATGGGAGGAGAATCAGTGATATCATCATCAGCACATGCAGTGTATCAAGAAAAGGGGTAGAGGTGGGCCCAATTCCAATCTCATCCCTTGAACCTATTCTTCTATTGACTGGAAGGTATCAGCTGGATGGCATTAGCTCCATACCCTCTGGTTGCAAATACCCATCTATTCATTTGACATCCAATTTGGCCCTGGACCTCTCTCCAACAATGGAATTTGCACAACCTCCTTCTGTATCCCTTGGCCCCTTTGTGTCCCAAATGGGTTCTCCTCTGGCTCCAGGACCCCTTATTGGCGAGCGAGAGAGACATCTTGGTGGAATTATTATACCGTTGATGATCTGATGCCTGGTGAGGTTTTCCAAACGTTCCCATAACGTTAGGAAAGCCAGCGTCTGCTGTTGATTTACATTATTAGGTACTGGGAGAGGGATTTTGTTTTGGTCTTGCCTTTTTGTATATGTTAAAACTGAAACACTCCATAGATGTTGCAATCAAATGTTACTTACTGTATATTATTCTATGTGTACTTTTTGAACATCGTAGCTGCTCCCCCACTCCCCTAATAGTAGACTAACCGTATCGGACATACTGTAGCACAAGATCTCAAGTGAACAAAAGACACAATCACATACAATACAGTAACCATATCATACAACTCTTGATAGTTACATTTGAATAATATATTGATATTTCTATTCACATGGATCTATTTGACACCAGATGCTCTGGACCGTGCCTCCTACAGCATGGAGATGCAGCAAGACATCTGACAGCCCTGATCTATGTATGACCTTCACGGGCTCTCAACTCTAATTTCAATGATTAATTAATTCCTAACATGTCTTGTCGCTACAAGACAAAACACTGCTTACTTATAAATCACAGACTGTTTTCCTAATGTAACATATCATTGATATCACTCCCCCAATACAAGCTAGTGTATTTCTCCTTGAAGTTGCGAGTGGAGGTTTTTTAATACCAGTCAATGACTTGGACAACGTTGATTATTGGGTTTTGTCGGGTTTAGCTGTACAGTGTGTCTATACAATGTGTGTGATAAGTGTTCTGTAGACTTGAATATGATTTGTGTGGCTGGTTAGATTAGTTTTGGTAGCAGTTTTCTGTTTGTTTCAAAGCACAAAAGAGAGAGCGAGGTGCGATTGATTGGGTTTGAAGGATGTGAAACCTCACAGAGCCCTGGCTCCTACTTATTCTCAGCTACTTTTGATTTCAAAAGAATCCAGTCCCACTTTCACCCCCTCATCCTCCTCCATAGGCCTTCAGTCATTGTAATGAGATTGACAGCACTAAGAAACATCAGGCACCACACAAAGAACCATTTGATTTGATCCAATCTCATATTTTTGGGCAGTGGAGAAAAGTCTAAATTGGATTATATTAGTCAATGATAGACAGTAAGTGGCTGTTGTATTGTTTGTGGGCTCCCTTCACTATAGCACACCAAGAGGCTAGTGTCCTCGGTTTTCCTCCTGCTACAGCATCTTCTATCAGATGCTGTTGTGCAATATCAACAGCTGAGGCCACTGTGTCTAAATGACCGTTTGGACCTGTAGGCACTAATCCACCCCAACAAGAGGTTTGCGCTTAGCAACTGGGTATCGACTCCAGTCTGAAGGGAGTTGGAGGGTCAAATTGAAACATTTAAAGACTGAGGACATTTTAAATACCAGATGGTGCTGCATTTTGGAGATTTTGTGTCAGACCTGAGGGGAATATATTCAAAGCATGTTTAAGTAGGTGTTTGTGTCAGACCGTAATGGGGACCACTGTGTGTGACTGCTGGATATGTTGTAGTGTATGTTGTTTTGAAATGATAACTTTTGAGTTGGGAGTAGAGGCTCTATAAAGTGGTACGAAACACTGTTCAGACCTGTTTGCTTCTCAATTTTTCTATGTAGAATTAACCTAATGTTCCACTGTTGTCTTGGCGTTCACCATCTCCATCTCACCTCTAATGCTGAACTGGGTTTTGCATTTGGAGTGCTTTCTGTTACTGATGAGCCTTTAAAAAAAATACATTATACACACACCTCATACATTTAAAACCACTGTACCATCAGTATATACAGGTGTAGGATCTTCATTTGAGCCAGTTTTGTGGATTATAATTAGTGGACATTTTTGTAGGGGCTGATACATTTTTTGTAATTGGACTTTTCAAACCTCAAATACACTGCACATTTTTTATGTCCTGCATTGCAGCAAAGTTCTCCTGCAACAAGGTGATCAAATTAAGATCTTACATCTGTATCATAGTCATTTTAGTCATATTGATTTTCATATCTATAGTTGAATGATCAAATCATTACATTCTCTGACTGTCAAGAACAACCTAAGCAGTTAGCTTCGGTGTTCCTGTGAACATGTTTTTACTGTAATCTCATGCCTTGTTGGAACACAAGGTAGCACTAAAGTCTGTTTTATTAAACTAAACAGATTATTGTTATGCTAAGGTGACTGACTATTATTTTGGGGGGGTTATAGTAATTTTTATATAGTTAGTCTGATCATGGTGAAATTGGCATCCACTCAAAACATTCTTAAGTATCAGAGGGAATAGCACATTTTGTAAAAATGACTAACAATAAAAGCTAATGGTTTCCATGGTTTTGTTAGTCCTCTTCATTTCTGTGTGTGTGTGTCCTTGCGTTTTCTGCTCTCTTCCTGCCAGTGTAGAGCTGTCTGAAAACATTACCACAGACATGAGGGACTGAAGACATGACAGCATGTCACCTCTCTTCCTGGCTCTATTCTCATCCCTCTGCAGGATCTGCTTAAGATTTTGTGTATATGTTTTGTAGCAATCCTCATTATATGAGACATGTTACAATCCCCACCAAGTGGGTTTACCTTATTGGCGTGATGCGTAGGGTGTTTGCCTTTCACACCTGGGTTCGCTTCCCTCTCCTTCCATTCACTACATTGGTGTCAGAAGTAGGATGGCGGCCGTTGGGCCATCGGAACGCACAGACCGGGACTTGTGAGGGGGGCTGAGATTAGTCAAAGCACAGGGGCGTGCCTTCCTGTTCAGAGGGGGTGGTGTAGCGGTCCTCGCTATATGAGCCATGTTACAATTCCCACCAAGTGGGTTAACCCTATTGGCGCGATATGTAGGGTCCCACTTCTGCCTTTCACCCCAGCAACCCAGGCTACAGTATGTTTGCAAAACGCCAATTGGTCTGTCTGAGTCTTTGTGTATAGCCCTACAGTACCAGTCTCAAGTTTGGACACACCTACTCATTCAAGGGTTTTTCTTTATTAGTAAAAAAATTTTACATTGTAGAATAATAGTGAAGACATCTAAACTATGAAATAACACATATGGAATCATGTAGTAACCAAAAAAGTGTTAAACCAAAATATATTTTATATTTGAGATTCTTCAAATAGCCACCCTTTGCCTTGATTACAGCTTTGCACACTCTTGGCATTCTCTCAACCAGCTTCATGATGAATGCTTTTCCAACAGTCTTGAAGGAGTTCCCATATATGCTGAGCACTTGTTGGCTGCTTTTCCTTCACTCTGCAGTCCAACTCATCCTAAACCATCTCCATTGGGTTGAGGTCGGGTGATTGTGGAGGCCAGGTCATCTGATGCAGCACTCCATCACTCATTGTTCAAATAGCCCTTACACAGCCTGGAGGTGTGTTTTGGGTCATTGTCCTGTTGAAAACAAATGATAGTCCCACTAAGCGCAAACCAGATGGGATGGCGTATTGCTGTAGCAGCCATGCTGGTTAAGTGTGCCTTGAATTCTAAATAAATCACAGACAGTGGCACCAGCAAAGCACCATCACACCTCCATGCTTCATGGTGGGAACCACACATGTGGAGATCATCGTTCACCTACTCTGCGTCTCACAAAGACACGGCGGTTGGAACCAAAAATCTCAAATTTGGACTCATCAGACCAAAGTACAGATTTCCACCGGTCTAATGTCCATTGCTCGTGTTTCTTGGCCCAAGCAAGTCTCTTCTTATTGGTGTCCTTTAGTAGTGGTTTCTTTGCAGCAATTCGACCATGAAGGCCTGATTCACACAGTCTCCTCTGAACAGTTGATGTTGAGATGTGTCTGTTACTTGAACTCTGTGAAGCATTTATTTGGCCTGCAATTTCTGAGGTTGGTAACTCTAATGAACTTATCCTCTGCAGCAGAGGTAACTCTGGGTCTTCCTTTCCTGTGGCGGTCCTCATTAGAGCCAGTTTCATCATAGCGCTTGATGGTTTTTGCGACTGCACTTAAAGAACCTTTCAAAATTCTTGAAATGTTCCGCATTGACTGACCTTCATGTGATGGACTGTCGTTTCTCTTTGC